GGCCACGAAGGTAATTTGCCCAGTATCCCTGTTTCCAGAATCGGAATCCTTCCATTTCAACGCGCGAATCACACATGGGTGTAAATCCATATGGGGCGCCATCCAGATCGAGATTCATCAGGTTGATCATGTCTGTGCGGACGACTTGATCGGCATCGACAAATATGACCTTGTCCAAAGACAGGGGAAAGAGAACGTCTAAAAATAGAATCTTGTAGCCCCATATTTCTCGCTGCTTCTCCTTCTGCTGCCGTAGCCAGTGAGGCCACTTGTACGAGATCATTTCATATTTGAAGCGGTATTGTTCTGCCATGTGAGGTATGAATTCCTTGAAAGAAGGAGAAAGGAATTGCTCGATGAACCAGAACTTGACGGTGTGGTTTGTATGGCGCATAACTGAGGCTATCATGATTTTCAACATGCGCTCGTAGAGGTGGCCACTGGCGACGGAGAAGATGTTAATCTCTGCGTGTTCTTGTTCGGATGGCGATTTCTTTTTGGATTTTCCACCAAAGAGACCTTCTGCCAGCTTGATACCCTTGGAGATGATATTGTCTTCCTGGGCATCCTTTTCTTGGAGGATGTCCTCCGCTTCCATGCCCTTTCGCCTTTGGAGACGTGGGTACAATGTCACGCCTTGGAAATCAATCAAGGCGAGCTCAGTACCGTTATCGCCAGGGACAGGCTTCCATCCCTGAGCGCCAATGCTCTCAATCTCATATATCTCGGTACTGCGGCCTTCCTTCAATTGGATAGAATAGACACCGGGATTTGCCTTGAACTGGAAAAAGCCAATGTTCGCCATGACTATGGTATCGGTGATAAGAGGATCTTTCTCAGTAGCGAGAACCAACTGGGCTCCTCGTGGCGCTGATCCTTTACCCTCTCTAGAATGTCCTTCGATAAGAATGTGCTTCAACTCATAGGTAGCATGTATGTCGGTCTTTACTGCGCTTAGTTTTATGTTGTCAAGGTCGTGAACCGAAAAAAGAGGGGCTACAAGCCATGCAGGCGGAACATCAACAGCAGTTGTCAACAGAGCCTCGGAGGGTAGACCATTAAAGGTAGCCCGCAGTCCTGCAACCTCGCCCTCATCATTGAAGGTCGGTTGTGACTTCAAGACATACCGGAAGAAGCGCTTGACAGGAAGCTCCTCAATTTTCTCCGGAGGGTTGATGAAAAGCTTCAAGTGAACTCCATGCAGCTCAGACAATACCTTCAGAATAGGAGCCCATCTTTGACCTTGCTCACTAACCGGATTAATGATTCCAACTATGTGAACGCTCGCAGTCTCCGGGTCACCCTTTTCAATTGTATGCGTTGCGGGCCATTTGTCGTAAAGGCTAGTTCGAGCAGACGTTGCGGACTCAAAAATTCCTTCAGGTAAGTCAGAAATTGTAGATAAGGCGGCGATGGACGTTATTTTAGCTGCGTCCAAGGGAGTAGAGAGTTTATCGCCCAAGCCAAGTTCTTCAACTGCTTTGTAAACTGGGAGTATGCGCCTCGCCTGTTCAACTTCCAAAAATTGCTGAAAGTCATCGGCGTCGAATTCAGAGTCCTCTGAGATAGGTCCAATCATTCTGCCGTTCAACATTATCATCTGGGCCCCCAAAGGTACTTTAGAAGCCGTCAAGAATCGCTCTAAAGCCTCAAAATAACCCTCTTTGTTTTCATCTTCAGTTGGTGTTTGGATTAGATCGGTAAGTTTGCTGATGTCCTGAATATCGCTCAGTAATCCTTGGTTCGCCAGGAGTGCAGCATTCATCGAGGCAGCACCATCAGATGACACAGGATTGTGAATGATCTCGACTCTGGCACCTGGGCTGTGGCGTTTGAACTCTAAAGCGGACAGAACTAGGCCTTTGCCGCTCGTGGTCGTCAAATCAGCAATGACAGTTACTGCCGACCAATCTTCCTTTGGTGACTCGGCAACGAAGTCGACGACAGGGACGTTGCTGAACAGATCTGCATGCTCAATGTAAATCTTGTTTACATTAAGCACAGAGAGACTTTTCCCTTCATCGTCTGGTGTTATATAGTCATTTCTCCTGGAAATTGCCTTGCTGAGGAAAATTCCCGGGGCCCAGTCGTCATCGGTAATCATTCCGAGAAAAACTGCCTTTTGGACTACTCGAAGATCTTCGCCGATTTGCATTCCCAGCTCCTGGATCCAATTCTCATCACGGAGAATTGGGAGACCATTGAAGAACACTGGTCGAGTCGGCGTGTCTACCTTTAGACGCTTAATCCATTGCTGAGCGAGTCCGAGCTGTCGTTCATAGGTGTTTGCCTCTAGCACTTCTGCAAGACTCATCTGGTCCGAGTCTACAAGAGGTGCGTGGTCCCCGGTTATTCTTGCGAATAGTTCTTCGTTGACCAACTGAGGGGCGTCTTTGAGCTGCCCCAGATATGCAAAAAGGCCTTTGACACCATGGTTCTCGAATATGTGGTAGACTATTTTGGCCTTAACAATCGCCTCAGGAGTCGAGATCAAGGGAACCAGGCCAAATCTGATTGAGATGCCCCGAGAAATAAAGGAAATTAACTGCATGATGTATGAAACATCTTCTAGGTTTGAGAAATCGACAGGTGCAATGAGAGTAAAGATATTCTTTCCAATGGGCGGCAGTTGTCCAGGGTATGACGGTTGCAGCAGCTGAAGATGTTAATACTGAGGCTTTCTGAGCAATATTACGTTCCCAATTTTGTGATGACTTACTGATGCCAAGCTCTTTGGGTACGCTTCATAAATGTCGTCGCTTTCGATGTCGTTTAACCATATGATAACACGCCCGTCTTCAAGCCGATCAGTCCAATCGTATCTCAGTGCCTCAGTGCCTTCCTTCGCAGCAGAAACATCTTGATGGCCAAGAATAGATACCGCTTGCTTTCCGTTCAACCCAAGAGCACGAAAGCCATCGATCAGTTTTCGTTCTTGACGTAGTCTCTCAATAAGAGCGAATGGCTCAATCTGACGCTCAATCAATTGAACACCATTTAGCCATAGCATATTCAACCCGTCTGGCACTCCTTGCAGGCTGTTAAGTTTATATTCCTTTTCGAATTGCGTAGAAAGATTGTGGGCAACAATTGTAGTTAGAAACTTGGGTAGATCCTGAGTCAACTTTATTAGTGTCTCTAATGGGTCATCGCTTTGCAATATGAAGGATGTTGCCTTCAATCCAAGCGATGACAGATCTGATGCGGCCAAAGGTTTGATATCGGCCACATCTTCACTACCATCGAGACCGGTACCGGTACCAGTATTCTCATGACGAGGTTCTTCGTTTTGCAGTCGATCATCGATGACGATATAGTCCGTCCTCTTTAATGCCAGTTCAACACCATACCCACTCATGGGAAGAGCTGCGTAAGGCGTTATTCGAGTACGGTGATATCTAATTCGATAGCTCAGGGAGCCTTCTGCTGCGGCCTTTGAAAGAGCTTTGTGGAAGTCTCCAAAACTTCCCGAAGTTATATCAGCATAGAGGATGGCTTCCCTGCCCGTACCAGTTACTCGATCAAATGGCAACTGCTTGTTGTGCCTATACAGCATATCAGAATTTGCGACGCATACAAAGTGAGACATACATACAAGGAACCTAGTCCACCTTTGATAACCGTCTCTAGTTCGTGACGGCAATACTGCTTTCCATCTAACAGCACCCAATTGAAGCATTCTGACTCAAGTGATTTTTCAAGAGCAGGGACAACAGCGGTGTTATAGTATTGGTAGTGAGCTTCTATTCGAGGCGCTGCAGATCGCAAGGACAATGCCAGTTTGAATGTGGACAAACTCTCGGCGCTAGACAGGCAACCATCTTCTTGCAAGACGCCGAGGAACTTCTCATACAAAGCAGCGTCTGTTGAAGCAGCGTCAAAATATCCAGTAGCAATTCGGTCCAAGAGCGGAAAATAGGACGATGAGTTTTCTGCTGCCGCGGTTTCTCTGCCAGTGCTGTTTAGTATGTGTCTTACAACGGAAGGGCTTTGGATAAAATAAGTACAAGAGTTCGAGCAAGTAAGGGCCAGCAGGAAAAGCTGCGTTCATGCCCACATTCACAGAGGGAGCGCTATGGGCCTGCAGAGCAAGCATAGATCCGACAATTAAGTTCCATGGTCGCCAACGATGTCGTGTCATGATAGATGAGGACACGCAGAGTAGGTATATATGAAGGCGTTGAAAGCCAATTAAGCCCTTTATCAAAAGATGGCAAGCACCATTGACTGGAAAGACAAGCAGGCAGCTTGGGACTGCAGGATAACTACGTTTGGATGAGAAGTATTAGCTGAAGGTGCGATATAAGAAAGTCGGTGGTCAAATCCTCTATTAAGTGAGAGCTGTCCAAAACCATACAGCTAAACGTAAATGGCCAGGCACACCCAACGTGCAAATCAGCGCCACGTCTGGCTGCCGCCACATATCCATTATCAAAGCAGCTCCCCCACTATCAGTATTAAAGGGGCAGCGGGGGGCAGCTCTGCAGAATATGCATCTATGCAATGATACGGCCTTACCAAGAATATACTCGTATACCTCACGCAATGAATAAGATGTTGCCATTCATAAGAGCGATAAATAAATATCGCTCATGAAATTCTCGTACAAAAATTGTTCATTATCTTTTTTAATTATTTAGCATTTGTTTTGCTCTCAAACGATCATTATGTATCAAAAGGATCGTGGAATATACCCAGTATAAGAGGGGTGAGGCGCCTAAGGCGGTGAGAACGTCACGTCCAATGATATTGCGGGGCTGAGATTGGCTCAGTACCCACAATTGGAGATGGACACGATACTCAATTGGAAGCTGTTGTCAATACGACGCACTGTTCTATCTCGCTCCTTTTTACGCTGATTCCCTGGCCAGGCCTGCGCAGCTACCGTGGCCAGCAAAGATCGATTGAGCCGCTCAGCTACACCCCTCTGACGCATCGATAATCATCTAATCGCTCCTTTCCCTTGATGTGCGAGGCTCCGACCTCACCTCCCCGCCACAATGCAGTCTTCCCCAGGAATGTTGACAAAGGTATGCTATTCACGGATTGCCCAGTCCAGCATGTCGGCTAACAGCCCTCCCAGTTTGAATCGAAATCATCAAGAGCAAAGGGAATTGCGTTCCACCCGAAAAGGTAGCTGCGCCTCTCGCATCAAGCGGTAGACTTTGGAAAACTGATTTGGTGTACTAGGCCATGGATCCTTGTGGCCCTTCACTCCTCCACAATCCAGCTCTGGGATTATCGGATGGGCACGTTGATAGATCGATTTGAGGAACACGATGGCCCAGTCCGCGGCGTCGATTTTCACAAGACACAGCCACTCTTCGTATCCGGCGGCGATGACTACAAGATTAAAGTCTGGTCGTACCAGACTCGACGATGCCTCTTTACGCTGAATGGCCATCTTGATTACGTTCGAACTGTCTTCTTCCATCATGAGCTGCCTTGGATTCTCTCTGCCTCAGATGATCAAACAATTCGAATCTGGAACTGGCAGAATCGAAGCTTGAGTACGTTGCTTATATTTTCTGTGCGCTGGTCAGTCGCAGCGATGCTAACTACCCCTTAGTTTGTACTATGACTGGACATAATCACTATGCCATGTGCGCTCAATTCCACCCCAAGGAAGATCTCGTCGTTTCAGCCTCCCTTGATCAGTCAGTTCGAGTTTGGGATATTTCGGGACTTCGAAAGAAGCACTCAGCACCAACTTCGATGAGCTACGAAGATCAAATCGCACGAGCAAACCAAAACCAAACCGACATGTTTGGAAACACAGATGCCGTTGTCAAGTTTGTCTTGGAAGGTCATGATCGTGGTGTCAACTGGGTCGCCTTCCACCCTACTATGCCTCTGATTGTATCAGCTGGTGATGATCGCCTGGTGAAGCTCTGGCGCATGAGCGAGACTAAGGCTTGGGAGGTTGACACTTGCCGCGGCCATTTTCAAAATGCCTCAGGCTGTCTTTTCCACCCACACCAGGACCTCATTTTGTCGGCGGGTGAAGATAAGACTATTCGAGTCTGGGATCTCAACAAGAGGACCGCCGTACAGTCTTTTAAGAGAGAAAACGACCGCTTTTGGGTTATCGCAGCTCATCCTGAAATCAACTTGTTCGCAGCTGGCCATGACAATGGTGTCATGGTTTTCAAGCTTGAACGCGAGCGTCCCGCCTCAGCTGTCCACCAAAATAACCTTTTCTATATCACCAAGGAGAAGCATGTCAGGTCATACGATTTCCAGAAGGATATGGAAAGCCCAACTCTGCTGTCTCTGAAGAAACTTGGCAGCCCCTGGGTTTCACCACGCACTTTGTCGTATAACCCTGCTGAGAGGTCTATTCTTGTCACCACTCCGGCCGATGGTGGCTCTTATGAACTTTTGAGCTTGCCTAGAGACGGATCTGGTGTAATCGAACCAACAGAATCCAAGCGAGGATCGGGCAATTCTGCCATTTTTGTTGCTAGAAACCGCTTCGCCGTGTTGAACACTGCCAACCAAACAATCGATATCAAGGATCTGTCAAACAATACGGCTCGTTCGTTCAAGCCTCCAGCGGGAACCACAGACATCTACTTTGGAGGAACCGGTAACCTCCTTATCATTACACCGACGACCGTCTATCTGTACGACATTCAGCAGAAAAAGGCTACTGCCGAGCTTGCCATCACTGGCGTTAAATACATTGTCTGGTCAAATGATGGTCTGTACGCTGCCCTACTGAGCAAACACAATGTGACCATTGTGACAAAGACGCTGGAGCAAATTAGTACACTACATGAGACAATTCGCATCAAGAGCGCCACTTGGGATGATGCGGGCATTCTGTTATATTCAACCCTGAATCATGTCAAATATGCCTTGCTCAACGGCGACAATGGTATTGTTCGTACTCTCGACCAAACGGTCTACTTGGTACGCGTTAAGGGACGGAATGTCTACTGCTTAGATCGATCGGCCAAGCCTCGAATTCTGCGCATTGACCCAACAGAGTATCGTTTCAAAATGGCGCTTGTTAAGCGGAACTATGAAGAAATGCTTCACATCATCCGCACTTCCAGTCTTGTTGGCCAGTCTATCATCTCATACCTGCAGAAGAAAGGCTACCCCGAGATTGCACTGCAGTTTGTACAGGATCCAACTACTCGATTTGACCTGGCAATTGAATGCGGCAACCTGGATGTCGCTGTGGAAATGGCCAAGGAGCTGGATAAGCCAAAGTTCTGGACTCGACTAGGTACTGAAGCACTTGCCCATGGCAATCATCAGATTGTGGAGATGTGCTACCAGAAGTTGAAGCAGTTTGACAAACTGTCATTCCTCTATTTGGCAACCGGTGATCACTCGAAGCTTGCGCGAATGGCCAAAATTGCGGAGCATCGTGGAGATTTCACCTCTCGATTTCAAAACGCCCTGTATCTTGGAGATGTCGAAGACCGCATCCAGATGTTGAAAGAAATTGATCAGTGTAAGTAATATATATGGTCAATCCTCACCCCCTCCTTTACTCTAGCGCTAATTGTATCATAGATCCTCTTGCGTATACTACAGCCAAATCCCATGGACTGGAAGAAGAATGCGAGGCTATTCTTGAGGCTTCTGGTCTCACTGAAGATCAGCTAACTCTGCCTACAATGGGCAAACCGCTAGCACCGCCAAAGCCTGTCGTATCCACGTTCAAGAGCAACTGGCCCAACAAGGCTAGCTCCCAGTCCTACTTTGAGAGTGCTCTTCTAGGCCAGGTAGAAGGCTTGTCTCTCGAGGACGAATCAAACACCGCCAATGGAATAGAGGCTGAGCAAGCCACAAAGGCGGAAGCTGCAGATCAACTCATTGCTACTGCTGGCGAAGACGACGATGACGCGGCAGGCTGGGATATGGGCGACGACGACGTGCCCGAAATTGACAATGACTTTGTGAACGTCGATAGTGCAGAGGCAGGCGGTGCTGGAAGCTGCGAGGCCGATATTTGGGCACGGAATTCACCTCTGGCAGTTGACCATGTTGCTGGAGGCTCATTTGAAACGGCCATGCAGCTTCTGAACCGACAGGTTGGCGCAGTCCAGTTTGCCCCTCTAAAGCCTCGATTCCTGGAGGTCTACCAATCCTCCAAGACCTTTCTCCCGGGGTTGGCCAACTTGCCCACCCTTGTTAATTACGTCCGTCGTACCGTTGATGAAACGGATCTTCGAAAAGTTCTGCCCGTTATCCCGCGCGATCTAGAACATTTGGCCTCCAATGATTTACAAAAAGGCTACGATTCTATGAAGGCTAACAAGCTGGAAGATGGCGCCAGCATCTTCAAGGGAATTCTACACGCAATCCTTGTCAATGCAGTTTCTAGTGAAAGCGAAGTGGCGGAGGCTAAGAAACTGATTGTTTCAGCCAGGGAGTACAGCATTGCCATGGATATCGAACTTGCGAGAAGAAACCTAGGCTCGATCGATGAGATTGCCCAAGACCCCGCTAAAGTTAAGAGGAGTCTCGAGTTGTCCGCTTACTTTACCATCCCGAAGATCGAGGTGCCTCACAGACAAATTGCGCTGCTGAGCGCTATCAAGGTGTCGATTAAGAGCAAAAATTACAATTCTGCTTTGGGCTTTGCAAACCGTATTATCGCGAACGGAGGTTCCAGCAAAATCGTCGAAAACGTAAGTTATCAAACTGTTCCCCTTTACCATTTCTGACTACATACTTACCCCGATATATAGGCCAAGAAGACAAAGGCTCAGTGTGAACGCAATCCAAACGACAGCGTTGAAATTGAATTCGACCAGTTTGCAGAATTTGAGATTTGTGCTGCCAGCCACACTCCGATCTATAGCGGAGCTCCGTTCGAAGAGTGTGCATTTGATGGATCAAAGTACCACTCTAGCTACAAGGGATCGATCTGTAAGGTGTGCGAAGTTTGTGAAATTGGCAAACACGGTAGCGGTCTGAGGCTGTTTTCATAGATACTTAATTTGGACTTAGAACTGTACAAGGGGGGGTTTAAAAGGACGTAGCAATATCCTAGTCATGGAATTCAACTAAATCTTGAACGAATGAGCTGGTTACTAAATCTCATTGATACCTGAGGGTGGTGATTCGATTAACCCAAAGCAGAAATAAATCGCTCCCTATTATTAGTGGTATGGAGTCTATGATACCAGGCTTGTCACAGCATATGCTGATGCGCATTGCAAGGTATTCCGTGTAATGTAATATGAACCGTGTCTAATTCGATATAATCTTTACACAATAGTTTCTAGCTCGCGAGCATAGCCCAAGGTATTCTCCATAATCATTTGGCTCATGTCTTTGGCACTCGCCCCGTCTTCACCATCAGCGGTAGTACTAGGGAAGTAGATGTGGCCCTCCTTGACAATCCATCCACGGTGGTTAGCAAACTGAATAACCTCTCCTTCTGAGTTGAGGAATAACAAGGACTTGGTGGAGCTGATGGGAAGGCTAGGATAGGCTCGCTCGCTGCTGCTGGCGATTTCAGAGCGTATTTGGTTCTTGAGAATCTGTTGAATTCCCCTAGTTAGCAACATGTCGGAAAAGGCAGCACGAAACAATCATTCATGCACGTACCTCTGAGAAAACACTGTACTCGTCGCAGGGCACCTCGCTGCTCTTCATTGCCTTCCATACACGATCATAGCTTCCCTCCATGAGCCACCTCTCTAGACGAACAGGATATCCCAGGTAACGATCGCCTTCGACGTCGGTTCCGCCACCATCTCGATTTGCCAGACTCTCCAGCTCTGAGTGAAACTCGGCATAGCGGCCTTGGGTGAGGAGTAGCAGCAAGCTTAATCCCGTAACCTTGTTGCGTTCGGGCAGGTTCGGAGGCAGGGCCGCCGATGGTAGCTCGTAAAAGGGCTGGAGCTGCTGGACGTAGCGCGTAAAGGCATCGGCATTCTTGGCGCGGATGGAGAACAGGGCACCTTGCTCGTATGTCTCCCGGGCAAGGGCGAGGAGGTTCGAGGGCGCTGAGGGATTCGGAGTGAGGGCGTTTACGCTGAGGAGGAGAAGCTTCGCCTTGGAGAGGAGGGCGCTGGCCTCGGGGTAGCTCATCTGAGGAGACTGCTTTAGCTGGGCGAGAATCGGGGAGAGGCTCCGTTCAGCCATGGTTGCGGGCGAAGTTGGTGATCTTGAGAGATGAAGTCGGAGTAGCTAGCGATTGGTAATGAAAAAGGCAAAAGTACGGTAGAAAAAGTGTTGTTGAGCTAGCGATTGAGAGGTCAAGTCGATGTAGCCGTCGGGGTGGCTGCAAGACTCGGGTGTTGGAATATGCGTCGGTTTGTTGGTATAAAGCGTACCTATTCTAGGCTGAACGATGACGAAGAGGTGTTAGCTGTTTACCTAGGTGATGGTGGGCAGTGCGTGCGAATCCTGACTAAGACAGCTAATCTAAGAGTGCATTGGGGGTGCCAATACGAGTGAGTGCTCTAAACATCTGGCATGCACCTGAATCCTCCTCTCTAAAGGTAAATTGTTTACCAAACTATAGCTTTGTATTCGCAGTTACTACTCAATATATTTGGCGTATATTTTCCTTTGACACCGCGAGTTACTGGATGTAGGTACTGTGCGCAGCAGAAATGATCGGACAACGTGTTTGGGCACAGGCGCATTTAGAGCTTAAGCGGCCAGCTTGGGTGGTACTGGGTGCTCATCTACTAGGTTAGGTAGTAGTAGTACAGATCTCGTAGCTGACACAACCCTGGAGCTGGTATATAAACGCCATCGAAACGTCTCATGGCATAGTAAGTTATATCAACAAACTTCTTGGATGGGTTGCTACATAGGAAACCTGATTGATAAATCGTGTCTTCCACAGGTAGTACTCATCAAGAGTAAATGATTAAGTCTATGGCATCGCGAAGCTACTGGCGTAGTGAAGTTAATAAAATGAATTTCTCCGTGCGATTCCTCGCGGTCTAGGGAAACTCGTCTCTATATAGGTATACCGTTACTCGACCAGTATCAGACTCTGTTTCTCTTCTCCTTGCCTTCTCCATGTCCGCGGCCCACATAGCTGAGCCTGCTGCCGTGGTCAGCAGAAAGAAGAAAGATAGCACCGGTATTAGCTCAAGGATCATGGCCATTGTTCCAAAGAAGACGCAATCCCATTCGAGCCTCTTAATCTCATCCTTTTGCGCTGCCTTTGACAAGCCTCGGAGCTGGAACCAGCGATGATGCGATAGCTTACCGAGCCGAGTGCCAGTGATGATAATAAATACGAAAGTTCCGACGTAAGGGATGAGATTGAGAGGAAGAAAGAACACGAGCTCTACAATCTGAATTGTACTCCAAGGATTAAAGCATGCTGGACTTGTCGGCTTCCCCAGCATCTTGACAGAATTAGGCGCATCTTCAAACAGGATGCGATGAGGGGCTATCAGATCCTTCAACGAGAGGTCGATAAGCGTTGCCTGATGAATAATTAGTCGGTGAATGAATAACTGCATTCCCTCGTCTCTTAAGCTTACGTCGAAAACATCCACCCGGCATTCATCGACAAAGAAACCCTCGAATAGACCCTGCACAATCACCAGCCCTTCACCCAGCACGAGCACAACAGCATTAAACCAGGCGCCCCAGCCATGGAAGATGGCTAGGAATAAAAATTGTGGAAGAAAAGCAAAGGAGAATAGTATGAAGTACACGAAGAACGATATTAAAGATAGAGGCACTAGCCGTCCAAGAAAGAGAGGCCAAAACTCCCTCCTCCGCGAAAAGTACCAGATACCACGGATGGGATAGCTGAACGCGACGGCTGCGCGCTGAAGGTAGATCAACGGTCGGCTACTGGAGCATCTTGAAAGAAACTGTTCTCTGAGAGGCGGCAGCGTGTTGCTGAGTGGACCGGGAGCAGACATGATTTGATTTCACCACATAGCGCAGTGAAGGCAAATGAGTTCGGGACAGCAGAGGTGTCCACGACGCCCAAATTATGTTGACGTCGACGTTGTACAAAATACCTAGTAGGCTAAGAGCAGCGCCTAATACAGCTGACGCAGCTTTGCAGCATGTGCCCATCCATCAAGTTTCCCACTAACACCAATCAGTTCCAGGCCTTTCTATTTGAAGTGCGACATGCTAAGATCCCACTTCTGTGAGTACAGACCAATCAAAACTACGCCACAGACAACACGACAACCTCACTCGACTCGGTGCTGAACTGTCAAAATCATATGGCACATTTTACAGATAGCATATACGTATACTGTCTCGCACGGAATATGGCAGATCGGCCTACAATTCTCGAAAGATTTCAATCGTGATTAGACTGCAAAGGTTTCTCTACATGGGCACCTCCTACATCTGAGGTGCTTTGCGGCTGCATCTCCTTTGCACCAGACACTTGGATTACTGGGGCGAACCGTATTCGCAAACCTTCCCAGGCATCTCTGCACTTCGCCAATGATCCGTCCAGAAAAAGAAATGCGCGCGAGTGCGAATGCGAAAGGAAATGCGAGGGCGGTGACATAGCCGCGGAGACATTTGGCGAAGTGCCAGTGTTCTTTCCGTAGATGTTTGCCGTCCTCTGACCGTAGATGCAGCCATTACGTCAAAGTGTCGGTTATGTCGCTGCTCCTACCTTCTGATGAGGCGCGATAAGAGCTCCGTTGGGGCAGGATCGAGTCCTCAGAGATGCAGATACGTCAATGTGGTGCCATGTTAGCCGAAAAAATGTCGTGCCTTCCTCAATTACGCCGACACTCTTATCACCGCCTCAGAGAAGATGGGCGCTCCTTCCATTATGCCCTCGGCAGTTCGGCGCTCAGCACTTTGCTTCCAGCAGCAGGATATCTTTCTCCCTCTCCCCCCTCCGTCTTCTTCTTCTTCCTCCTCTTCTCTCCACCCTCGTTTCTCTCGTTTCAACTTTTGTCTCCCCAGTCATTCATTGTTCTTCACTCATTTGCATCCATCTCTGTTGCATCCGTCTTTCTCATCAGTCTACTGATCGTCCGCATTACGCCAATTCTGCGAATCTTGACTTCGCCCACAATGCGGGCCTTTGCGTCTTTGGCGGTCTTGATGGCTGGTGCCGTTGTGCAGCGCGCAAATGCTCAAGCTGATTACGGGCATGTTCTGATTCCCACTCCTCTTTGCTCACAGATCCTAATGATTCATCTAGAACACACAATGGCAACAACAATGGCAACAACAATGGCGGCCCTGATTGTGATTTTGGCGGCAACTCAGGCGGTTCTCCCAGCAGTAGTGTTAACGGTGATCCCAACGGCATCCCGTATGGAAATCCAAGTGGACTTCCAAATGGTGCCCCCGCTGGATTGCCTGGAAACTCCCCCGATTCTGCTCCTGACATGCCCACTTGTGCCCTGCAAGGCATTACAACAGTTTTTGTCACTGTATACCCTACCAGCCATGTTACTCCCTCCGGTTTTGCCCCCTCTGGTGCTGCTCAGTCCAATGGCTTTGATCCCAATCAGACGATTCAGCAATCTGCTCTCCCTGCTTCAACTGTCTTGATTTCCCCCGTTCAGTCTGCCCAGGCCGCACACACCAGTGTCAAACCTTTCACTACCGTCACAATTGATGTTTGGGGCAGTGATGGCGACCCATCAGATGCATTCACATCCGATATTTCACCTGCTCCCATCTCTACGGATGGAGCTTCTGACCCTGTTCAGACATCTGCGGGCTCTCCTGATGGATCTTCTGCACTCACCCAAGACCCTGACTCATTCAATTCCAATCTTGGAGACCTTTCAACACCGTCAAGCGGTCAAGCTACTGCTGGCAATGGCCCAATTCCAGGATCCTTTCCCACTGTCACTCCTGAGAATGCGGCATACGGTAGTGCGGGTGGCCTCAATAGCATCCCCAATACCTTCAACCAGCAGCCGTCAGAATACTCTTCACCAACTGACACAGTTGCTGGCCTTGACGGAAGCCAGCCTGCCCAAATAACAGTCGTTGGCCCTGATGGAAAACCGACAATTGTACAATTTCCTGGTACTCAGATTGGCAATGGCAATGGTGCTGCCCAGCCCCTTTCTACCGCTGCTTCGTTCCCCAGCTTTACTCCAGGTGTTTCTGCGGCTTCAGATGTCCTTGCGACCGCCAGAGAGACTCTTTGCACAAGCTACACTATCATGGGACCCAACGGAATTCCCACTGTCGTTCACTCTACATGGGTTGACTTGCCCACAACCGCAGCATCCCCTCCTTCATCGTTTCCTTCCGGGCTCTTGCCAAATCCCAGCGTTGTTACTGGCTTGCCAGAAGGGCCTGTCATTCCCACACACACTACATTCACCATTCTTGGCCCCGATGGACTTCCAACTGTTGTGGAATCGTCTTGGCTAATGCCTGCACCAACAAACACGCTTGCGGGAATCCCTGGTCCTACCTCTGTCAATGGCTTCCCAAACCAAGTCACTGGAACAGCTGCAGGCGTGGAACAAAGCGGCAGTACGACATGCACAAGCTACACTGTCCTTGGATTGGATGGTCTTCCAACAGTCGTTGATACAACTTGGGTCATCCCTAGCCCTACCAACAACGCCATTCCTTCAGCTATTATCACTGGAATTCCAACCCAGGCAGGAGGGGTTTCTGGTAGCACACCTCAAATCACAACAGACCTTGGTGTGAATGCCATTACCACATGCACAAGTTACACAGTCCTTGGTGCTGATGGCGTACCTACCATCGTTGAATCTACTTTTGTTGTCCCTGCAAGCAATGTGCTTCCCACTGTTGCAAGCGGAATGCCTCTGCCGCCAGCTCAAACCGCAGGTTTCCCCGAAGGCATCTCAAATCTCCCTGAGGCAAGTGGCTTGGCCACAACTTGCATCACCGTCGGCGTTGTGGGACTAAATGGCTTTACTACACCAGTTGTTCAAACTGTTCTCATCCCTACTGGTGGTTTGAGCAATGCTTTGCCTGCACAAACTAGTGTTGGTTTTCCTTCTCTAGTACCGGCTCAAACCGGTCTTCCTCAAGGTGGCCTTCCTATCACTCCTGGTAGCGGCTTGTTCACAACTTGCATCACGGTGACCACAGTTGGACCAGATGGCATGGCTACACCAGTCGTCCAGACTGTGGTGGGCATACCGAGCGGCGCAGAGCTTGGAACCGCACTATCACCCCTGTCAACTGGTGTTCCGTCTTTCCCCAACCCAAATTTCTCGAGTGGTACTCTTCTCGGTCTCTCCACTCTTTCTCAATATGGGACTCTTGGAGCTGGCCTGCCAAGTGTGCTGCCACCATCTGCAGTGGTTTCTGGTATTGTGGAACCAACAGGGACTGTGACTGGAACCCGCACGTCGACTCTTACCGTCACCAACGGTCCCAATGGGCAGTTGCCAAGTCTCGTTCCTTACGGCGATCAATCGGATAACCAGGCGCCAGAATATGGCCTCCCGGGATCATCACGTCTTGCCACTGCTCTCCAAACTAGCACCTGGACCAATGTTATACCAGAGCAAACCACCACATACACGATCAACTTCCCACTTACTACCATGGCCACTGTTACTCTGCCCAATCTGCGAGTCTTCCGTCGCCAACAAGAGTAAGTCAAAGATGATCTTCTTGCATACAATCTCTAACTTTGTGTAGCTCGGTATCGTCAGGAATTGCCTGGGATAACAATACCCTGAGCGTGAGCCCAACCTCAGTGTTGAGCAGCCAGAGTGATCTTTCCCCTGCTTTGCCTTCTGCGACTCCACCCCAAGTTGATCCTTCTCCCATGTGCCCGACTGGCGGGAAGATTGGTAACCTTACATTAGACGTTCGTGCTCCCCTATTCTTCTCATTGTCCGCTTCTAACCCGTTTTGCAGTTTGATGACGTCAAAGCTGGACCCCTTTTCAATCCTGCTCGTGATATTTGGTTCTCTGAAGGATTCCTCATTGCTCCTCCATCGTCTCAAACATCTCAATCCTACATTCCTTCATCTGGTGGTCAGCTTGTCGAATTCGTTCCACCCTCTTTACCATCCTTGGGCCGTTCCAATGTAGGAGATACTGCGGAGATTGGCGTTGGTCCAAACGCTCCCAATCACTGCTTTAGATTTGACTTCCAAGGTGCGAGCCTTGGCTGCGCGGCAGACGGTGCTGAGAAATGGTGTGAGTTTGAGGTATCAGCATATCGATACAACGAAGTTTCGGGAAGAGAAGAGTCAATAGCTTGGTCTGAGACAAAGCGTATTCCGGCATGCCCCAGTTTCCCCAATGGAAACTGTCGACTGACTCCAGTGTCGTTTGACGGCTACGCAAACATCACGTCGGTCCTCATCACTCTACGGGTTGGCACCGAGTTGCGAGTCTGGTGGGGAGACGACTTCAAGTTTGGCTGGAATGACAACAGTTGTGAAGCCGCTGCCTGCCGTGCAGGTGCTGCTCCTCAGCCGGTCAAGCGCGAGACTATTGAGTCAGTTGCTCGCCGAGGCGTCTGGCACTGGACTGCACGCGGGTTGAAAAGGCTGGATGACGAATACATCTGGGAATCGGTATAATAGGCCATCATTTGATGATTTCGGATGGTAGATAGGTGCGATGAATCGCGGGAAGAGAATATTTTGCAGTTTGTCTGTTTGTTGATGGAGGCAATTTGACCTAGATTTTCTTGGCAAGCAGCGTAATGTGGTTGTAGCTGCGGGACTACATGTAATGGTAAATGGCCGTGGAATACAGAATGAGGTCATATAAATTATTACACTGTTATAATACAATCAAAGGACATTTCCGGTACACTGCATGCCATTTGAGATTTTCTCCTCCTATGATAGCTGGTATTTGGAACAGTACGTGGCCAAGAGAAACATAAATCCCCCATGTGCTAAAGCAATACAGCCTCGGTATCTACTAGTAGGTATTTATAATATACCGAGAGGTGACATTCTGCGCCAGATGCGCTCCTCTCCATTAAACCAAGAGACTGCGGCCTGATCATCGACGTCGTCAGTCATAGTAGCATTGCTAAGAGAGCAGGAAGCATCCCAAGGGCCGCACTCGATGCTACATGTTGATACATCGAACGGGATAACGCCGGATTCGAAATAGTCAGCTACAACCCTCTTGGTACAGCTGCTGGGGGCAGAAGCCACAGCACAGTGGCCCATGGCCTCTTGAATGATGACACGGGCGCCGGGATGCTGTGCGGCCATGGCCTGAGCAGCCCTCAGAGGCGTCACAGGATCAAGTCGATTCGAGAGAAAGAGAATGGGTGCTGCTGGATGGCCCGATTTGATGGATGGGTCGGGCTCTGGCGTGGTAAAGGGACCTTTGAACTGCCACTTGGGACGAAATCGCCAGCTGGAGCAGGGCAGACGGATTGTCGCCCATTCGGCACCGAAGATGCTGGATGCGCTTACTTGGCGATTCACGTATTTGCGCCACCAAGAAACGTCCTTGTCGGTAATGTCGTCACCATCAATGCAAACGACGGCATTCTGCGACTCTATTTTTCCAATAAGCTGGGGTTCGGTGCTGTTGGTTATAGGACATGCGTCATTCATGACTGGCATCGCGCCCAAGCCCAAATCTAAGACGGCCATTTTGGTAATGTTGCCGGATATGAAGCTGTTCAACTCCTTGGCGAGTATTTTGAATCCCTTCAGAGGACTGTAAAGCGTTAAGCCAATCAGAGAGCGGACGTCTTCGCCGGTGACAATGACAGCATCGCCGGAGTCTAGCAGCACGGGCTTGGGCCTCTGGTCCAGATCTAGGAGGAAGCGGTCGAGACGGCAGCGTATATCGGATGCTCCATGGGTGTCTGATTCGCGGGCTAAAGCACACTCTTCGGGGCCGGCAGCGGCACAGCCGTGTAAGAAGTTGTCAAAGATCTCATCAGTATCAACGGTGTTTGTGAGCCAGCCCTAACAAAAGTAGGAAAGTCGTTAGCGCAGCTTTTCGAGAGCATGGGGATATCATTGCGCTTGCTCAAAAACGTACCGGGCCGGTCGAATAATCCTCGGCATCACAGACTCCGTCGAGAATGAGACGACCAACTCGACCAGGAAACATGGAAGCAAAGTAGTTACCAAGAATGGTACCATAGGAAAAGCCAATGTACTGGAGACGCGGAACATCTCCAGGCTCATCATGAAGCTCAGCAGACCTCCTTTTGCGAGCAGATCGCTTCTTAAGCTCATCTCGCTCATCGTCAGTGTCCTGAACTTCTGGGCCCCCTCCTTTTTTGTTTTGCTTCCGAGCAGCAGCATCCCTCTTACGCAGCTCATCAACCTTATCAACCATCTCGACCATATCGCGGGCAACATTCGGCGTTCCGACAAAGGCCATGGCGTCCCCGGTCCGATTGCAGCGCTGTCCAAAGGCGCCCATGATAGCTAGGCTGTAAGCGATGGAGTGGTCGCCATTGGTGAGGGGCCCATTGCCACGGGACTCCAAGATGAAAGCGTCGCGCGACACGAGACTGCCGTTGAAGCAGTCGGAAGCGGGCAGCGTGTAACCGATGCCACGAGGGTCAAAGGAGACGATTTCATAATGGCGACGGCCCGGCTTGTCGACCGTGGTGCGAAGATAGTGGCCCAACGAGAGCATGGCGTAGACGCCTGAGCCGCCAGGGCCTCCGGGGTTGAAAAAGATGGAGCCGCCAAAAGCTGGGTCGTTGTCTGGAACGAGAGCGGGTAGCTTGATCATGGCAATCGTGGCTACTCTTGTGTCTGTCTCGTTGAGCCAGTCGAGGGGCACTTGTAAACGAGCGCATTTGTACTGCTCATAGCAGTCATGATACTCAAGATCGTCACTGGGGGTGATGGTATCCCAGTCGAAAGGGTCAATGGCAGCCGTCATCAATGGCGAAACACCGACTCCAACAAAGGCCAGAGAAGAACAGCATCTTGAAAGCAGGAGCAGAAAGCAGAGCCTCATGGTGGTGATTCGCGGCCCTCGCTCTCTGTCTGTATAGCTATGCTCGCCGTACCTTTAAATCGGTCAGCCTTTGAAGCATTTGAGAAGACGGAAGAGGCGAGGAGGAGAACAGAAAAGAGCACAAACCTCGATCAAGAAAAAAGACCAAAGACAAACTACTTATATGTTTGCTATATCCGTGTCCCTGTGGAACCGACGAGCCGGCCATGAGGAGTTAAAATAGAATTGGTTATGTGATGGTATTTATCCCGTCAACCGTTTCACTAGACGAGACATGAAAAAAAAAGGGATTGAGGAGGGGGGAGAATACGCAATCCGCGATGCCTCGATCTGACTACTACAATCCTTCGGCGCGGGCATATTCAAATCGTAAACGTTCGGTGGGATGAGGGGGATACAAACGGCTCTAGTACCCAGCCTGTGCATGGCGCGCTTACAATAGTTCCTCTGAACTTCCGAATGGAGTAGTATGCAGCGCTGCAACGAATGGCTACCAAACTTATGGAAATAGACTGGGCATGGATATCTGTGAAGGAATATGAGGAAAAGACTGTAATAATTATATGTAATTTGCATAAAGAACCAAGGCAGTAGCCCGAAAGTTGATTGAATGTCGCCTAATAAGCACGTTAGGTTATCAATCATAAGTTTGAGGACCTATGATAATGAAGACATGGTGATTTGACTAAACGTACCATCGATATTGCGCATAGCGGCCTTGGCAGCAAGCATTGGTAGATGGCCAGCGATTTGCCGCAGTGGCAGCGCCAAGGATCGATGACTAGTAAGTATAGGGATTCAATGTTTCAGTGACGAGACCAAGTTGAAGAAATACATTTTTTCCTCTTCAAGAAAACTAATACAGAGAGATACGATACATACAAACCACGCTCAATGACTCATCACCAAGGAAAGAGTAGAAAGACAGCCCTAATCGGCTCGTAACATGTACAAAAATCACATTCGCATTTTTTTTAATAAAACAAACAGAAAGATATCGTATGATTCCAGCGCCGTGATATAAATTTTCTTCGAGTCTCATCCAAGCAAACCCAGTCCCCCCCCCCACTCTCTCTAATCCGTCGCCGCCCCCCCCTTTGCATCTCTTCACTCTACCCCGTCTTCGTAGTCTCCAACATCTACGCTTCGATTGGCCAAGAAGAGGATCCAAGTCAAGCTCGTAGGCAAAATGAAAAAGCAAAATGAAGTAGATGTTACGCTCTGCGATGCTCCTTGCTTAGCGTGCAGCATGTTGTCGTAGTATTTGGTATTCAAATTCTCGTATATCTTCTATGTGCGAATTGATCGACTCTCCTTGCTATTATCTTTGTATATGCGAGTATATGCTCTACGACATGTGAAAATGGAGCAGTCGTTACATGACAACCTAGAGAATATATGTTAGTCTTTCTCATGCACCCATAGGCTACAAATGTAGAGCTACTCACGCAATCACCATCCTGTTTACCCTGTGGGATGCCCATATCTTCAAACGTTGCGGGACCTTGTTTGTTCGGTGCCTTACTAGGCTTGCCCGTCGGTGCTGAAGCTGCGCTTGGTACAGGACTCGGGCTATGCACATCGGGACGTGGAGGACCTTGGCCTTGGCCTGGAGGAGCTGTGCCGGCTCTATGGGGACTCGGCACGGGACTTGGCATGCCAGGACCTGGACGTGGCCCTGGACCGTTTCCAAAGCCTTGGGGACCTGCGGGACCTCCCGTATTGACTCTTCCTGGATGTCCTCCAGCTTGTGGGGGGAGAGAGCCCACTCTTTCTGGGTAGTGTCCTCCGGAGCCGCCGGAGCCGCCGGGACCACCAGGGCCGCTGTTATGATGATCGGCATATCCATCCGGCCCTGGTCGTGATGATGTCCGAGGCCCGTATTGGCCTGGCGGCGGTCCTCCGTGAGGGCCTCCGGGTCCACCGGGTCCGCCGTATCCCTGAGGCGGCTGGCCTCTTCCATTCGAGTGGGCGCTTCCGGGCCGGCTGTCTCCTCCGTATGGGCGCCCCGGACCAGGCCCGGGACCAGGTCCAGGACCACCTCTGCCACGACCAGCTCCAGGAGGAGGCTGGTTGGGGTACAAGTTACCAGCTGACTGGGAGCCTGGCATCGGTCTTGGGCCAGGACCACCAGGACCACCAGGACCACCAGGACCACCAGGACCACCACCTGTCGATGGCCTGATACCAAAGGCACTGCTTGGTCGGTCTGCCGCGGGGCCTTGATTAGGGGGGTAGTTGTTATTGTAACGGCCCGGATTTGGTCGGCCATCGTCATCCGGATATGGCGCTCCTCCACCAGGGCGGGCATTCATCGGCTGTGCCCGATCATCCACGGGATAAGGGGCGGCAGACTGAGAGCGTGGAGGCGGGCCGTTGGAATCGACGCGGATGTTAAAGGCTGGCTGTCGATCAGTATCAACAAACGACGCTCTGGATGGCTCAGCAAAAGTATTATTTTCCACAATTGTAGGACGCATGCCGGGAGAAGCCACGGGCGAGGCTCGGGAAGAGCCAACTGACGTGACAAGTTTGGGCAGGGGCGGTGGACCACCGTCGGCGCCCTCGCTGAGCGTGGGCATCGGGTTTGCCGCCGTCTTGAATCGTTCGGGACGCTTGCCTCTCATCGAGCCATGCTGTGATTTGATTCGCGTTAATGTTGTTGTTTCGTGATCTGCTTTTGAAAGACTCTTATCCTGGCTCAGGGATTCCAGTCGACCAACGGCATCCTTGTTCCCGTGATCGGCCGCGAGTTGATACCATCGCTGGGCTTCGACAACGTCCTTGTTAACGTGGATACCGATTTCGTGGTAGTAGCCCATGGCGAACTCGCCAGTGGGCAGCTTCGCAGACGCCGCTTCGTGAGCATATTTGAATGCCAGCTCTTCGTTCTTCTTGAAAACACCCTCGTAACCGAAAAGGAACCATCGGCTGACACCAAGAGCAGCCTCTGGAATCCCCTGCTTGGCGGCCAACCCGTAGTAGTGCAGAGAGTAGGAGGGGTTGAAGTCGCAGCCCAGCTGACATAACTCATATGCCTGGCCCATTTTGAGTTGCGCCTTGGCAAAGCCAAGATACGCCGCCTTTTCGACATACATCTTTGACGTCTCGACGGCATAAGGCAATAGCCCTTCGGGTATGGTAATGTCAGGCAAGTCTCGTCCGATAAGCATGCCGTACACGTATGCTCCCTGGGGTGCATCTTCGTCTGCACAGTCGGCGGCGCTGCGGATGCGCTCCAACCCCCCCTGATAATCCTTTGTCTCGCCATGCTGGCCAAGCAGACTCATCATGCCCATGCGGTAAAGAGCGGCCGAGTCCTTCAAGCTAAGGCCCTTGTAGTAGTACTCCTTTGCCTTGGACATGTCATTGGACTGCTCGAACAGCATGCCCATTCTGTATACTGACCGCGTGTTGCCAAGGTCGCACGCCTTCTTATACCCCGCGTAGGCCTCGCGCTTGTCGACGCGATCGCCAAACTTGCCGAATTCAAGCCATTTGGCGCGAATGTAGAGGGCATCCGGGTGCTCCTGCTCGGCCAGGTACCGGATGATGTTGACGGCGTCGTTGCGCAGCTCATGCTCCTTGCGCGGGGTTGGGGGGCGATTGCCGCTCTCAGCTGCCTCCCTGGCGGCGGCGTCCATGGAAATCTCGGCCCAGTTGAGCACATCGCGGGCCCAGGTGATTTGCATGTTGACATTCTGCGAGTGCAGGACATGGTTTCGGGCCTTCCACAGGATCTTCTCCTTCTCCTCGTCCGCCGGCGGCACGTTGTCGCCGACCACCTTGGGGAAGGGCGAGAATGACGGGGCGTCGTCGTCCATGGTGTCGGGCTGCCGTGACCGACCGCCGCTGTTCTGGCCGTAGACTCTGCTGTCGGCGCTGGTGAAGGGCTTGCCGGGCTGGTTCTGGGCGGCGTAGGTCGACAGAGAGGGCTCGCGGGCTCTGTTGCTGGTGTAGGATGCTGCGTCGTGGCTTCTCGGCTCAATTTCACGGGCTTCGAGCTCCATGCGCTGCAGGTCCTCCTGCATGTTCTGCGGCACCTGAGGGGTCACCCTAATCGAAAGGATCAAGAAGAGAACGTCAGCAGCAGCCCCACCTCGAATGGCTGAAGGGCTCCATTCAGCCTCTGCCAGGGTCCAGCCTCGTCAACCAGGCGAGATGGAAGATAGGAGGACGACAGGACCAAGGAGGCCTGGGAGACAGGGGTGTGTGGAACAAAATTGAAAAAGCATACCGCTGAGGGGACGGAGCCACGACCTCTGGCATAAAGTAATCATCGTCGCTCCCAGGAACGAAAGTTGCGCCAAAATGGGACATGGCTGGTGGATGGGATATAGGAGCCTCCCGTTGCAGGCTATCTCTCTCTCGTTGTTCGCTTCGTTCTTGTCTACTTGGATGACTGCAGCTCCTCCTCCTCGATGTCAGCGGGCATTCGACTGCAGCAGCACAGCCGGCGCACAGGCAGGAAACGGCAGAAATTGGGCCACAAACCCTGGTGCGACTTCAACACCACTAGGCAGCACCTAGCAGGATGGATAATGCTAGTTCGTGGTAGTGGTAATAGCAAGTATTGGACGCGAATGTGCCGTAACTCCGTGCTTGTGTTTGTACAAGATCCAATATGCGCGCGGGAAGCCTGGAATTATGTACAGTATGGAGCACCCACGTCTTTGGGGCGGTGCACAGGCTAAAAAAGGGCCAAGCGAAGGCGAATTTTTCTCTTCTCTTGCTCTTCCTTGTCCAGGAGAAGAGTCGCGGAGGAGCTGTTGACGGATGGCGCACCGCTAGCTGGCGGGAATATTGGATGTATTAATTAAAAGAGACAGAAGAGCTCCAGAAACAGGCAGAGGGGCCAGCGACGTTGATATTGAGGCTGAGGGTCAAGTAAGGGCTCTTTCTGGAACATGAGCGGTGCTATAATTAACCCCACGACTAAATACAGTGTGGCGATGCGCGCTCGATGAGTCTGTCTGGCATGCAAGATACGCGCAGTAGGCGTTTGCTGACAAGGGGGGATGTTAATGGCCGTTGCGCCGCCTGACGGACAGGCTTAGACAGTGTGGCTTGAGTGGTGGGTGTTAGTGGCGGCTGTCGTGCGTGCGCAAGGAGAGAAAGCTTGCATGTGGCGCCGGATGCTCGTGTTTTGAGCGCCAAACGAAGCCTTTTTGTATTCCGGATCGAATGGTATCGCGCAGGTTCCAACAAGGCCATGCATGATTTAGTGCTTGCATCTCCCTTGCCTCTTTATAGCGTCTGCCTTGGTACCTATGGAGCAGATAGACGCTATGCGAGCGTGTGGTCTACGACTCTGTTTGTGCGATAAACCGCAGATCCGATTTCCCAGCTCCCCAAAGTGGCAGGGTTCATGTGCTTCCAGCGACTCTTATAACAGGTAGGTACATGTATCGACCTAAAAATATCCAGCACCACTATATTACCCTTCGTACCTGGAGGAAAAGCGCCCGAGAAAGCGCCACAGTCTGAGCCCTTGCTGGGATTTACGGCATCGCAAAGATGCTCCATCTATGCGACTGTTCCATTCTGTATGAAATCCTCCGGGTATGCATGCCAGTTACGCAGACGCGGCATCCGCTAGCAGGAGCTGTTCCATCTATTTGATACCTCTTAATGTTTATCAGGATGCACTCGGTATCATCGTCTCATGGTCACTTTGCCCTCTTTGGAAAGTAAGTACGTGTGCATAATGAAATCCTTGCCTAAGAAGAAACATTGAAATCTCTATCCACAGGCACTTTTAGTTTGTTCTCTTGCTGAGTCGCTGCCAAACAAGTTGTCAACTAGGCCAACATAGACTACTAATAACACCGCAGCTGGTGGTCGTGCAACTGCGGCGCTACCAGTTAATATGGAGCAATACTCCCCCGGGCGCCATTTTAGTCCCCAGAGCTGCTCCCCTCCAATCTGGCAGAGACGAGGCACGCTCGTGAGCGCATTTGAAGCTTTGCTTCCTCCACCAAGCCGCTTGAAGCAACATGGCAGCGCTACCAGACCCTCAGGCGATTGAGGAGCCATCCTACATCGATTACGAGACATTCCTTGCTCCTGACTTTGCGCCCGCCGCGTTTGCCAATTCTCTCGTCCTGTCCACCAACAATCCGGACGACTCCCCGCTGGATCTCTCAACACCCTTGTCGCGAGTCCTCTTCGACGCTCAAGAGATTGATTCTCATATTGATCTCCTCACCACCCGTTCCTCCGTTCCTTTGCTGCAATATACCCAATCACAGACGCAAGCCAGCAAAGCCATTGTCGCAAAGCTCGAAGCCCAAATCGCAAGCCTAAACGACAGCTATAAGCAACTAGAGAAGGAGGTTATCGATAAGCATGCCGAAGCTGAGGAGATTCGCCAGGTCGCATTGCGCCTGTGGGAGACGCTGAGGCTGGGGAGGTCGATGGGAAGATGCCTGCAGCTTGGAAGACAGCTCGAGGCACAGTTCTCCGAGCTGGGCAATCCCGGTGCCGGAAAAGGCGACTACGGAGCGCTCGTCCGATGCTCATACACCATCCTCTCGCTGCGCGAAGTACTGGACAGCAAGGCGCCAGGTGAAGAAGGCTATGGCCTCGAGAAGCTCAAAGTGATCAAGAGCCTGCAGGATACCATCATCATACCGATCGAACGACGGATTAACGAGGTGTCCGAGCGGCAGATTCGCGAATTTGCTACGCCAAGCACCATAACTTTTGCGCAGAGCGAGGAGGCACGATCACGACTGGTATCTGCCATGTCTGCACTTTATCTACTCTCGCCGACGAGTGGGATTCAGTTGGAGAAATGGACGCCGAAGCTGCTTATACAAGCCCTCGATTCCTATGTGCGCTCTGCTCTGCAATCAAGCACCGCAGCTCTCTCACGATCCCTCGGACAACTCCCCACTCTAGACAAAACTCTTGTCGAAGTTGTTTCCCACTGCCAGAACATTGCTTCGCTTGAGTTGATTCTCGAGGCGACCGAGGCTCCTGCCCACCCCTTGGTTCCAGCCTCTGCGAAGAAGAAGCAGCAGCAAACCCTCCTTCGATTACTACTGTCGCGATTTGAAACAAACTCTTTGATTTCCTACTTTTGGCGCAGCATGGCAAGTAATATTTCTGCTCGCGTTCAGGAGATAGCCACCCGAGGAGGCATTGTTGCTCGTACACTACGCACGAATAAGAACGTTGTCGGGGACGCTATTCGGCAGGCTGTTATCAAGGGGAGCCAAACGCCGAATGTGTTTTTCAGCGGTAAGAAGAAGCCCGGCGTTGAAGCAAGCTGGGACCGAGAGATTGCCGTCATGACGGGAAGCGTGCTGAACAACATAGGGCGATGATTTTCGGAGCCGAGCCTTTGTGCATGACTTTTTCTTGGCGAGGTCCATTGATTGTTCGTTCAGCGTGTTTCATGTCATGTTTTTGGTGAATGAGAACGGACCTTGCCCTCTGGATTTGGACAATGGCTATGTATTTGTATAGACGGGGATGAAAAAAGGTTGAAAGGTTTCAATGATGGCTCCAGAGGAGGATGAGAAAACAGCACCCTGAATAGACTTGCTCTTAAATGAACGCATGATCCGGCTCTTTCTTCTCTACAGCTCTGATATTCACATTTATTATCATAACTCGGAATATATTCATCAAGGTAGCTGCCATGGGGATAACGCATCTACGAGCTATTCTTGTGCTCATCAGTATTGATCAGGCGGCCTAGAGCAACTGCCCTCTGGCACAGGCACCCTGGCCGATCTTGTGTAAATGTGCCTCGCACCATCAAGGCTCAGATTTTCCATACAGCCTCCCTTGACAGTCAACGTCTGCGAGGATGACCCGTCTGGCAGCAGGCCCCGATGGATTAGGCGAACCCCACATGTCTTACAGAAATAACACTCCAGCGTGCGCCCCGAATCAGTCTTGCGCGTCCACATCCCGACGTGAGGCTGTAAATCCTCGGCAAAGGGGAGCATGCCCTCGACAGGGAAGACGGCCGAGATGCCAAATGCCGAGGAGGATTGTCTCTGGCACTCTGAACAGTGGCATACGTCAACTGCGAGAGGCTTGGGGAGCACGGCCCGGAAAGACACGGCGCCGCAGTGGCAGCGGATCATGGGGTTGGTATCCATGCTTGCGGTTAGGGCGGAACCAGTAGCCTATTCTATAGAATTGATGTTCAGGCGGAGGAGATATGCACAAGTACAAATGTACAAGTAGTCCGTAGATGAGACCAAAATGTTGAATTAGGAATGTGAATGTACTTGTAGCATGCTTCTGTCGACAGACGGACAGCCTCCGAATCGTCAAGGTTGGCGGAGACGTGGGCTAAAGACGCGCTATGCTTTTAAACATTTGGCGCTAAAACGCACTCTAAATCGGCACCTGAAGCGTCAACGGCATGGACTTCAAATCCAAAGATTCTCATCAGTGATGTTCTTATCCTCCAATGAGCATCTTGATATTTTGACCCTAAGTGACCGATAATAGACAGAGCATAGCAGTTGTAGGGCACGAACAGCTACAGCCAAAAAATCTCGCAAATATCGTTATAGCGAAGACCCAAGACTTGCTAGCACCGCTCGTCCTTGCTAGAGCCTGGACTTGACGGTGTGCGCGGCACCACCGGCAGCGCATCCATCGGCCCTTGGCCTGTAGCCAAACCCGCCACGCCCCAATTGCTCGTCTCCAATGCGCATCTTGCATTCTCTCCCACGCAAATGCTCTAGCTCTAGCTAAGCCTTCCCCCCCTTTTCCCTTTTTTACACCTTTTTATGCTTTGTTTTTGAATTCCGCTCAGCCAGCGAACGAGAGAGAGTCGCCGGCCTAGAGAACGATTCTTCGCCACTGATGACGGCATTGAGCAACAGCGGCGCATCTCTGTAGAGAGCAGAGAGTTCCGAGCGCAAAGCAACTCCGACACATTGGTCGGCAGCGCGAGTCCCTGCGATCCGAACGCCATGGTCCGCTACGAAGTCTTCGACGCTCGGGACCTGCTGTCCTTCCCCGACGGCGACAACAGCACGGACACGGTCTTTGGGGGCATCCATTTCAACCTCACGACGCTCAAGCACTGGAACTACACGTACTACAGCAACGGCACCCTGTCCAACAACTCCAAGTGCTATCTGACGTATGAGCCGTACCAGCCCGTTCTGCTTTACACCAATGGAAGCTTCATCAACGCCACCAAATGCTACAGCGCCGTCGACCCAATCGGGGTCCGGGGCTACGTGGGAATTGGCTTTGCGGCCGTGTTTGGCATTGCTCTGATGCTGACGCTCACTACCCTCGCCAAGCATGGCAAGATGTACCTGCCCAAGGAGAAGCGCTTCTATCCCATAGGTCGACGCTGGCAGTGGTATTGGGGGTGCTTTGTCTGCGCATGCGCCCTGATCAGCTTATTCACGAATATCGACGTTGACCGGTATCACGTCCAGGAACTGCCAATCATTGTCACCTCTTTCTTCTGGTTCCTCATTTGTCAAGGAACAGTAGCGCTGGTCTGGGAGTCGGTTAGGCATTGGGGGAGCTGGCAAGAGAGGCAATTCGTCGACCCCAATCCCTTTGTATATCGAACCGACGACCGGCGATCCAAAGTAGAGTTTTATCTGCCATTATGGGTTTATTTTTGGATATGGATGGTGAGTCCCCCCCTTTTCTTTTTGGAAATAGTGTTCTTGGTGTCCGTGACTTACATAGTTCACTGTAGAACTTCTTCCTTGTTGTGCCTCGCAGCTGGACGTTTGTGGAAATGCAGCGATCACCGGAACAAACTCTGGCCAAGACCATTCCCACTGCTACGGGAGCGCGATTCAAAGCCGGAGCCTTTTGCCTAGTGATTGCTTCACTTACCATTGTTTACTCGTTGCGCCACTCCATCTATCATTATAAGCCTCGGAACCGTGGAATATTCAACCGGACATGGGGCTTCATCAAGGCAATTCCGATGCGATTTGTCCTCACCATTCCTCTTTGCCTCGCCCTCGTTGCCTACCAGGTACTTATTTCGTTTGATTGGACCTTTTCAGTTATGCGCTACGGCGGCATTGTACCCGTCATATTCGCCTGGGGCTACGGTCCCCCTCTACTCATCCTCTTTGTGCAAATTATATATGGGTTCGCGAGCCCCAACGAAGATAAAGCTCTCATTGCGCAGAGGCGACAGCGAGGTGAGGTCATCGACCAGGAGCTTGGCATCGTCAAGAAGCCAGCATGGTGGAGGCGTGTCCGGGGTGAACACCTGTACACCTTGCGAGACAAGATTACACAAAATGTCAATGAAGTTGGAGGCAAGCGTGGGCTCAAAGCCCGGTTTGAAGACGAGGAGAGAGAGCCACCTTTGGGAGGTGATTTGGTCACCCGCTCTAATAACAACACAATCGAGATGAACAGTCTATCTCACAACCCCCGAGTTGATAGAGCGGGCGTTGGTAATTTGTCGTCCATGGGCGAGTCACGTCGCTATACCGGAAAGTCTGATCGCCGCCACAACGAGCGGGTCGTTGAAGACGCTTCCGGCGTGATTTTCCCCAACAACGCGGAAGCCGAGAGACAGGCTCAGAGAGAACGATGGATTCACGAAATATCGCAAGACGGACCCCCATCCTATAGCGATACAGATCGGGGGCGCTCTACCCGGCATGACGGGTCAAATAATGCGCAAAGGAACGACAGTACAGATACTACCGACTCCACTGCCGCTCCACCACAGCAAGTTAGAAGCATGCTGGATGTTTAATGACCACGTATGGACGACCGATATTGCATAATGAACCCTAATTACGAGAGTCTTTTTTGATTATTGTTGAAAGACGACTAGAGTAATGTATGACGACAAACGAACGTCTGGCATTGCGAATACGGTAAATCCAAAACAGAATTATTAGGCGGGGACTATGCGTTATTCGAACTTGGGAATGGACCCCTGAAAGATTATGTCTGTATGAAAGCCGTAGATTAGATCTCACGGAATGAAACCTCGAATCAACCACTACTGCGAGTGCTTGAGCAGGGGTCTGGGAGTTTACAAGACCCATATAATCACATCTAGAGCAGTAGCAGTCGAAACAAGAGTACCTATACTACTCCAATGTGCTATCCACGCGAACGAAGCAAGGGGCTTTTCATGTTCTTTCTGGTTGGTAGTTTTCTATCTAGACCTATGGAGAATGTATCTAATAGGTGGCACCTGAACTCGGCAGAACCCGAGCAAATCGAGCTTTCAATGAGAAAACTAAAACAGGCTACTAGTACTCCTACTCCATTCACACTCTCTGTCTAATCTAGCTTTGAGTTGCTATACTAGACATGCATGGGGCGGGATGTACCACTACTACTATACTACTAGTATTACCCGCCCAAGAGTCCCCATACCATATCGGCTACGGGAGCGATGGAGCTGGCATCGGCAGGTGTGGCGGTATGTAAGTTTATGTAGGTAACAGGAGTAATTGATCCGGCCCAAGAGATAAGGGGTCGGTCGGTCAAGCTCTTGAAGATGAGGAGCATGTTGCCAACCTGAGGTATAACCGGTCGATTATCCTTCGGGCATTCGGATCTATCTGTACAAAGGGGCATGTATATATGACGGCACTTACATCAGGGGACGATCTGCTTTTTCAAGCCACTGACGCTCTCGTTAATTGTAAGACGATATTGTCGTGGGGCGTTTCTACTTTTGAACTATTGCCCTTTTGCAGGAACTCATCGGTCTGGCGTACGACCGTAAGCGGGCGCTGCTTGTGGCACAACTGCTCGAAAGGAGGCGGGATTAGAGAGTGATGAGTGCCACAAGTGAAGGGGCATGACATGACCTGGGCTTTGTCTATCTCGGTACTCTGTGAACACTGCAGTACGTGCAGTATAATGCATGTTTCCCCCTCGGGTTAGGACATGTCATAGCACCAAAAGATTATGCAGGGAACCGTTCCATACACTCGGTCGAGATCCTTGTCATTGCTATATACAAACATGGCTCTCTGCTAGTACTAAGCACATTGATATTAGACCTATCAGACGGAGTCGGGGGAAATGGTGCGACTCGCAATCTAATACTTGGGCGCTACCCAAGTAGAGACAATTATAAGTGTGTTGGTTGTAGGTCTGTTACGGAGTAAGCCGGTAGGAGCAACGGGCGAAATATGTTGCCAGGCGGGTGGGCTTTGTGGGGATTTGAGGCCGTAACATGGGACGAGAAGGGGGTGGTTGGGCCGCTGAGGCTCTTTGAGACAGCCATGTGAGCGGCCTACTGTACCTACTTGTACGATGATGCAGCTCTGCGAATTCATATCGGAATTATACCGTTTATGTGTGTATTGACCAAGGGAGAACGAGTCTAAAATGGGTTGCTCAGAAGCGACCTACCACTTTCTACTGCCGCAGTCTACAATACTAGGCATGTACAGCGAGCTTCCTCATCTGCGTTGATGTTTGAAACGAGCACAGCAGTGCTCAGCTTTGTTTCGCGAGTGCAACTCAAAAAGGGCCACTCATTCAAAATGGGCTTGAAAGTCGATATATCACTTGCATTTCTATAATTGTGGGTACTTGAAGCGTTAATGTTGCGTTTAGGCGCCCACGACTAGGCAGTTGTTGGCGCCTTGTTGCGTGGTGGCAGGCATCGAGCAGGTGTGGAGTCTTGGCCGTCCTGCTAAAGTTTACACTACGAGCGAGAAGCCACTTTTTTTTCTTCCTCTCCTTCTTGGACCTCTTGGATGCAGTCAGGATATGGGATTGAGGTGTTGAGGCACAAGTCTTGGATCCTACGGGAGGCATGGGACAGGGTGCGGTACGGCATCAGTGACTTGGACAATCTTGTGGCACCATCTGCCTTTCTTGTATATTGTGTATACACCATCACCATCACCATATGCACCACCATCAAGGCACGATGCTGACGATGCTGCTGAGTGAGTTGGGCGGCAACAAATCACGGATCCATTCCCATAGAATCCATGAATGAATACAACCCATGGATTGCACGTGAAGGCGGTGTTGTGCATCGTGACGGAAGTACCTAGATGGTAGTAAGCAGAGCATACTTGTATGGATTAACGCTTTGACGCATCAACAACGACATCCAAGCTGCCAGCGGCGGACACCGCAAACAGACAGACGTCTCTCCCGGCCATGCTCGGCCCAGATTTCGTCATGCTCTCGTCGTGTCTCGTCGTGTCATGTCGTCCATCTCTTGTTCCCCGTCTCTCTTTTTATCTCTTTTCTTTTTACTCTCGCGGGTTCGGGCTCAGACTCAGACGCAGACGCATACCCAGGCCCAGGCCCTGAGAAACGGGCGTCCGCTAGCCACGCGTTGGTCCCACGCCATCGTCGAGCAAAAAGAGGCTTGCCCACTGGATTGCCGTGGATGTACCTGGGCCGCGCACGCTAAGGTGTCGCAGATGACCTGTACCTTACGTCGGCCCCTCTTTACTACGTCAGTAACGCTCGCTAGCAGGGACAGGTATCCTTGCCAGTCATGCCTAGTGTCGAGGTACATCTTTTTTTAGGCGCCCGCGCGCAGAGTCGCCAGCGAGCTCGCTGACCTGCTTTGGGCAACCCACCGCCAGCCAGCAAAAGGCGAAACTTTGTGGTGGCATGCCAACTATTGACTGTCGAAGTTTCTTTTCCTTCTCTTGATCCTGTGCCCTACCCCTTTGGCATTACGGCTTGCCATGTTTCCCCGCCTGGAGCTTATTGAGGCGGAAAAGTAAGGCAACCTCCTCCATCTGAGTTTTGCTGTCGCCGTCCCGCCCTCTCCGGTGGCTCCCCCTCCCCGGCGTGTCGAGCTGGCTGTGACGCTGCCCGCTTTGCCTCGTCATGCTGCCTTTTGGTGCGTTTCAAGCACCAGCCAGCGCTCGTATCAGTCCAGCCCAGAGTCAGCAGCTTCCAGCACCCATCGGTTTATTATTCCTCCATGTCCTCCCTTGGCCGCAAAAAGCACGCATTAATACGACTTGCGCCGGACCAGGGAGGTATGTATACAAGGGCAAAAGAGTGTCACATGAATGCGTATTCTGTGCTGTCCGCCAGTAGCGCGCTGCGATCTGGCCCTGCGGTCTTCCGCCTCATACATGGGATTCCGTCCTTCCCGAAGAGGAGAGACGAAGCCAAAAAAGCCAAGCCCCTACCTTACCTAAAGGACAGGACCGAACAAGTACGAGCTTCTGCCCCAGGGTGGTAGGTTCAGCACAAGCTGATAATATGGAACCTTGCCACGGCTGATGGGCGGGTATCTCAAAGGTAGAGGCTACTGCTGCTCTGACATCTGCAACCATCGTGCTGCCTTCAACTCAATCTGTTAGTTAGTCGGCGCATATGCCTACATGTATTGATATCAATGGCAATCTGAAGCCGGCAAGGGACCTACTTGTACTAGTATTACAGGCACCCAGGCCGCTACGGCAAAAACTGGAGGGATCATCATAATCGTGCACACAAAAGGCACCGCCCGAGTCTGCCCGCAGCTGCTGTCGAATTGTCCCGTTTCGTCCAGGCACATTCGGCCAGCGTGTGATTTTCTGCCGAGCACTAACGAGGCTCCATGCCATGCTGCTGGCTTACTCGCACTTGTAGGCAAACAGTCGAGCCTTTCTGCGCAACCAGCAGGTACCCGCTACGCACCGCATACTTGTCCAACCAGCGCTGCTCCATAAAACGGGCGCGCCCATCGCTACGACGAGGTCTGGTTGGCGCCTCTGCCCTGCCCTGCCCTGCCAATCCGGATCCGGACTCCACCCGTGGGAGGCGCCGTCTGGGGGAGAAGGAAGACGCAGAAGCAGAAGAAGCGAAACAGGACAGGGCAGGACAGGCTGGAAGAACATCGCCACACACGCTGCCCCTTGCGTGGTGGATGACTTCGCCTTCGCGCCGCCTTGGGCTTGCTGAACTCTGTGCCGCCGTAGGGGCCGGCAGTACTGTATAACTCGCTCGCTCGCTAGCCAGAGCCAGCACTAGGCCGACCCAGGCGCGCATCGTTGTGTCACCGATCGCAGGGTCCGGCAGCCCCCCTGCTTGGGCTCGTTCGATGCTGCTGTTGCTGCTTCGCTCAGCTGCTGCGTCTTTGAGTTTCCGATTCTGATCCTGGCGATCGTCCAATGGCACGGCCTCAGCGCAGGTCTTAGGTTGGCCACCGTTGCTGCTAGCGGGGAGCAGACAGGCATGCCCAGCGCTAGATGCTTGAAGCGCCTTTTGCCCGCCCACCACCATCACACTCCACCTCGCACTACTACAAGGACATGCACACTTTTTTTTTTCTTTTTTAACATCAATCCAGTAACTACTAGTCTACTCTGCCTCGGACGTCCAGGCTAGCATTCCACCCACTGTACTGTATGTTCTGCACTGCCGTCCGCAACCAGCCGACCAGCCAACTGGCGCTCCGGCCTTGGGCAGCGCCTCAGTGCTCCTCGTACCTAGTCGCACGGCACTAACCCGCGACACAGTTCCTTAGCTGGACCGCTAGCCGACTCTTCCAGCTGGACGGTGCTAGTGTAGCGCCTCTCTGACCTCTGCCAGCCCAGGCCAGGCCAGGTACATGCTGTACAGGCCCGACAGACACCTGCCAGCCTCCCGTACCTGGAACGCAGCGCCGTCTCACGCAAGCACCCATTCCCTTCCCTTCCTTGCCTTCCCATTCACACCACCAATTCCCACGCCATCCTCAAGCTTTGGCCGCGCTTTTGCCTTTGCCCTTCTGCTCCAGGCTGCCAAAGCTACAGCCCACAAGCTTTCTGGCCAGTCTCCCTTGCAACCTTAGCTGGCCCCTTGTCCTTCCTGACCTTCCGCCTCCGCCTCCCTTGCTGACCTCAAACAAACCACCCCCACCACCTTTTTTTTCCCCTCCCCCTCGGCCCTACTTCAGCCTTCTGCCCATGACCTTGGCTCTCCGCAGCATCTTACAACTCCAAACCTCTCCAACCACCACAACCGTCCTGTGTCGATTTCCTCCCGACCCGGATCGATCTATATGCTCGCTACAGCCCAGATCATCCGCCAAGCTGCCATCACGTCCGGTTTGTTCCTCGCCGGATGCTGGTCGCCGCTTCACCAACCTCGCTTTGCCTCTCTGCCCTGACGGTACCCGCAGAAACTCCATAGCCCGGTCTCTTGCGTAATCCGTCTGTGTTGGATCGCCTCCTCCTGCAACCTCCCCTCCTTCCAGCATCACGGCTCGGCACGGCACCGCGGACGAGTTTGCACATCTGCCGGCGCTCTGTGACCACCGTCGACAGACATTCTTCGGACGCCCTCGCTGCGCCCTCGCTGCGCCCATCATGGCGGCTGCCTTTCGCCCCGTCAACACCCCTCTCGCAGCGGAAATTTCTAAGCAAGACATCATCATGTCTCCGAGAAACTCATCTCCCCGTCCTAGCACGGCGCCGCAGGCACAGCTGCAGCCTTCACACCCATCCGACGATGGCAAGACGCCTACGAGAGCCACCTTTAGCAGCATCAACATGACGAGCCAGAGACCCCCGCCAACAAGCCCGTTCTCTCAAGCGGCACCAGCCTCTGAATCCACCGAGAATGGCCTGCATCGAAATGACTCTCAGCACTCTACGAGGTCGCCCAAGCGAGATTCGCTGGATGTGGACATGGACGAATCTGATGGAGAGACTGGAACTATCGATGATGGCGCCGGCTCCGACGCCGAGAGTGTAAATGCGGATGGAACAAGATCAGGCAAGAAAAAGAAGTCACAACGGTTCTATTGCACTGATTATCCACCTTGCAACCTAAGCTTTACGCGTAGCGAGCACTTGGCAAGGCACATTCGGTAAGTCCATCTACGTTCAAACCTTTTTGTTCCCTTTTGCTTTTCTTGTTATTTTTCTTTTTCTTTTTGAATTAAAAAATGCGGCTAACGATTTGGATAGAAAGCATACTGGCGAGCGCCCCTTCCAGTGTCACTGTTCCAGGCGATTCTCAAGACTGGACAATCTGAGGCAGCATGCCCAGACCGTTCACGTCAATGAAGATATTCCGATCGACTCTCTTGCAGCTACTGGATCAAGATTTCAGCGCCAGATCAGGACTGATCGAGTTCGACAAGCTGGCAACAGGGCGAGAGCCTCTACTGGGGGCAGTGCTGGCGGCCCGGTGCGAGGACATTCCAAGTCTCTCTCGACCTCGAGCATCTCCAGCATCACATCCGTGGGATCGGCCTATAGCGCCCAGAACGACCCTCGGCGGCGCCCGCCCCCGCTTGTCATGGCCGTTGATCCCCGCTCAAGGCTATCGCTCGAATCCTATCGCAGCAGCACCGACAGCACCTTTTCTTACCGACCTCAGTCTCCAGGCGATTATAGCACGCCCACATCTGCCACTTTCTCAACGGCCCAGAGCAGCCCACGATGGAGCGCCGGCGTTTCTCCGTCATCTTCACACTCTCGATCTCAGAGCATGTATTCCATGGGTACGCGGACTCCTGGCCGCCGGCTTAGCGTTCCATCGGGCACCACTCCCTTCCAGTTTGGTCAGGCTCAGATGCCGGGCCGCGGGCCGGGGCCGATGCTTGTCAATAGCTCCAACGCCGGCGCCCTCTCGTCTCCGAATGCAAACTTGGTTTCTTCGCCAACCATGTCGACATCTGGGTTTCCGGGCCGTAGAGACTCGGTGGCGAGCAGCACCGGCGGCGACGACTCATGGCGACGGCGAACCTGGCATCCCGATAGCCGTAGCTTCAGCGGCACTGCCCAGTTGAATGCTGTCCTCAGCCAATCAGTGCGGCCAAACCCTCCGCCGCCCATTGCAAATCCCAGCAACCCTCAATCTACCCTTCGCCTACCTGGCATCGAGTCTTTTGATCCTCTCCCTCGGACAGGTACTCCACCTAGGCGCAACGGATCACCAATGACTGTCGACTCCGAGCTTACCCATCGACCTCCTGTAATGGAGGCTATTGACGAGAGGCGAAACCTCAACATGTACGACGTCAGCCTTCAGCGTGGCCTTGGCCGTCTTGATATAGGACACAAGACACCCCCTCGTGACAGTGCGGGAATGTGGGCGTCCGAGGTCCACAAGGCGGTTCAAAACCAAATGGAACATGCACGTATGAACCAGCCAACTGTTCGATTCGAAGAGCAGCCGCGGCCAAGCCACCAAGTGCCACCACCAGCCGCGCCGAGCAGGTCCTTTCACCAGCATACCATGTCAGCTCCCGCCCTAGCTTCGGTCAGAGAAGGCAAGGGACACGGCTGGTATCAAGGAATCCCTGCAGCTGATGCGCGAAATCCTCATGTCGATCGAATGGTTCATCCCAACTTCACAGGCTTTGCTGGATTTCCGGCGCGGGAGCAAGCTCAAGAGCAGCGACAGCCACAAGTCCATTACCACCAGCAACCGCCACCGCCGCCTCAGCAACAACAGCCGCAGCCGCAGCCGCAGCAGTATCAACAACATCAACAGCAGCAACAGACCCATTATCAGCAGCAACGCCAACAAGATCGCTCCAACAACCCTGATTCGTTGAGGCGGCTGGAGGCCTTGGTAGCCGTTGCTACTAGCGAGGGCTCCAATACTGCCGCCGCCTATTAAACCGGCTGCTTTGACTTTTCTTTCCTTGATGATGTTGATGATATCCCTTTCAACATATCTTTCCATCTCTGGAGAGAAGGACCATTGAGGATGATGATGATGTAAGTCGCCGCTGGCTACTTTGCACTTCGAATTTTATCCATCGCTCAGTCTCTGCTCAGGCATTGACTTGCCATTTCCTTTTATCGCCGTGTTTCCCAAATTACGAATAACCCATGACGGAACCTGGGCTGCAGTATACAGCATGCTACTTGAATTTTTTTTTCCCTTTCTTTTTTTTTTTTTCCTTTTTTTGTTTTTACCAGTTTCTCACTCAATACCGCCACTCTCTCGTCTTGTCTCAATTTCTTGCAGTTTCTCTTTGGGGGCGTTTATCTGCGAATTTGTGGCGAATACGGCTGGGTTCTTTTTCTTCCCCCCCTTTACCATGGGAGGAACTTTGCTCAACGATATGATATCTTTTGTCTGTTTACGAAATGGATTGGATAAGGCGTCTATGCGCAGCCAACGCCAACTGAGTTGCACTTGCGAATCTGACTGGGAGGCAATAAGTCTTTCCAACGCTAGGCTACGGCCACATCAACACCAGTGGATCTGGGTTTGACGAATTGATACCCTTTAGCTTTGACTGGGTTTGGAACAGTGCCGCATCCGTTTTTTTTTCTTACAATACTTTCTTTTTGTATTGTCTTCCTCTTAGTGATTGATACTCGGTGTCTTTGGGTAGTCGTAACTGTGTCTAGATTCAATGCATGTTAGGTGTACTGGAGATCTAATCGGATATGTAACATGACAGAAATTGCACAGTGCTTTGAGAGATGGTGACAGTGTAGACGCCTGAGTAAGAAGATGCTAACGATACTATTTTACTTGCAATTATTCCGCCCCTGATCAATTTTTTCTTTTTTATTATACAAGCTGGTGCTACCAGACAGGAGTTCATTTCGTTGACACCCGTCACGCCGGCTTTAAAATCACTTTTTACCTGCTTGATAGAGGTTCTTGATGGTAACGTCAAATTCCTCTGGTCGACGCCCCAGCAACTGCTCCAAAGAGGACGATACATGCGATGTCTCTCCAGCACGAATGGCATCCCACGCAGTTGCCCAAGTCTGTGCGAGAGGACTGCCTCCAAACTTTGCAGTGACCTGCGGCTGCGTGGCATACTCATCCACGGTAACCTCTCGAATTTGCAACTCTCTGCCAGCCACCGTGGAGAGAAGCTGGACGGTATCGGCAAGAGACCATTCACGAGGTCCAGTCAGGGCTACAAGCCTGTTCTTCCAGGAGAAAGCGGCTGGGTCCTGAGCGTACTGAGCAATCAGATTTGCCGAGGCTTCGCCCAGCTCATCTCGCTTGGCCCAACTTATACCAGGGCCGGAGCCATCGTGGGGAATACGAATCTCAGTGGTCGTCGGGTCGTTGAGATCCAAGAAGGCGGTATAAATGGGGAACGATTCATGGTAGAGGCCCTCGCGGATGACAGTCCAGGAGAAGCCAGGATCCTGGGCAGCTAGTTTGCGCAGATGCGCCTCCGAGTCGAGGTGGGCGCCCATGACCTCTGCCAGCGTGGCGTCCTTGTCCGGCAGGGCAAAGGCGAGGGACGAGTAGAAGATGTGTTTGACGCCGGCTCTGTGGGCAGCGTCCAGAGCCGGAATCTGCAGTGACGTGCGGTATTCGTGGACATGGCTGGGGTAGGATATGAGGAACAAGACGTCGATGTCTTTGAAGGCAGCTTCGAGCTCGGCGGGCGATGCCTCGTATGAAGCCTGGCGGAGCTGGACGCCCTGGTCTTTGTAGATTTGGGGAGTCTTGTCTGGGTGGCGGCTGATGAGGACGGTGTTGGAAGGGGACACCTTGTTGAGGAGATGGGTGTAAGTGCTGTTGCCGAGGCCGCCTGAGGCGGGGAAGATGCCGATGGTTGGCATATTTTTTGAGTTGGCCTGAGTGGTTATGGAATGAAGTAGTTGGAGTTTTGACTTATTTGACGCTCTTCTGCTCAATATCAGATACTAGAGATCAGGATGCCATTATAAATTGGATGTGCTATTGCAATTTACTCCGTTCACCTCATCGGACTTAATCACTGTGGAGCTGACTCTTTGATGAGACTCCATTGGTTCAAAGCACAATGACGTATGGATGTAGCGGAATTAAGCAATTCATTTTCTTTTACGATAAGATATAAAGACATGATGCTAGTACTGCAAGAGGATCATAGCAGAGAAATAGAGACGAGAGTTGTAACAGGCATTAGCTGCCTATAATTCTGTTTTCAGACTATCGAATACTAAAATACTTCCCCCTGGGTCTAATTATAGGTATGGCAGATAGCTAGGAACCTGTTTCAGTGGCTCGCAGACCTCCGGAGCTCGCGGACGTAAACGCGTCTGTTTCAGCCCCTCCAGCCGAGGATTAGGCGTGAAGGGGCCTCCATGTGGCCGATTAACTTCAACTTCCATAGAACCCATCCGGCTCTAATTATTCATTCCTCTTTTCGACTGTTTGTCACTGATTGTTCACGGAGGCTGGTTTCAGCTTTCCAGCTTACTATTCGACGTTTCTGCTCTCCAATGTCCCAGCGGGGTGTCAGTTCGAAGCATTGATTTTCCAAGCGGTCCTATCCGAGATAGACACTTGGATATGGATGGCCTCGCCGGCGAGGTGATGGCGAGAGGTAAGGAGGCACTCAAAACCGGTTTCCAGGCTGGACGTTACGCGGGCAGTGGCTGATGCGATAGGCTTTGCTCCCATAGACGCCTGGGCGTCAATCCCATCAAACCTGCTGCGCGCTGAGCTTCAGAGACGAGCAGACGACGGCGAGAAGCCCCAATGCGGCGGACACAATTCGGGGTGGTACGACACGGCTGCGCATGTCTTTGCGCTGCTTCTGATTCTGGTCCTTAGCACGCTTGGTGAGAACAACCCTGTGGCGATTCGAGATTGCGATAGAATGGGGATTTATAGGAAGAAGTCTTGCTAATGGAGTTTTTGCTGCCAGCTTGCGGCCTCCCGCTATTCTCACGGCGAGCAACGACAGGACATCGACAAAAGGAGATATTATTCTACAGTCAACACATCGGCACCGGCGTTCTCATTGCCACGGCCTTTGTCCACCTTCTCCCAACCGCCTTCTCGTCCCTAACCGACCCATGTCTTCCGTACTTCTTCAGCAAGGGATACACTCCTCTACCCGGACTCATTGCCATGGTCTCGGCCTTGGTCGTCGTGGGGGTCGAGTCTTATTTGACCGCTCGAGGCGCAGGCCATTCGCATTCGCATGCGCACGATTTCTGGGACGAAAACGACGAGGCCGAGGGTGATGCGCAGGAGCTGCATCTGCCGAGAGAGGGTCTGGCTGACAGGCGGGCGCGCATGACCGGACGACGAGCGGCGGATATGGATATTTCTCTGGGCGATTTGGAGGCGTCCGAGGGCCTTGTCGCCGGCGTTTCGCCTTTGCCGGAGTCGAGTCCGATGGTGCCGCGGCGCAAGTCTACCGAACACGCCGACAACGACGATGATCGGGATTCAGACCTCGACTTGGATCTGGGAGAGCTTGATCCTGCCCCTGCCAGCGGAAGCGCCCAGAATGGCCAGTACTCTTCGCTTGCGAAGCCCAACGGCACCTCGGGCCGCCGCCACTCCCTGGACGGTAACCAAACACAGTCGCCAGAAGAGCAAAAGCGTCGCATGCTGCAGTGCCTTTTGTTAGAGGCGGGCATCCTCTTCCACAGTGTGTTTATAGGAATGGCAATCTCTGTGGCTACGGGCCCGGCCTTTGTCGTCTTCCTGGTTGCCATCAGCTTCCACCAGTCGTTTGAGGGCATGGCTCTGGGAAGCCGCATCGCGGCCATCCAGTTCCCCAAGGGATCCATCCGTCCTTGGCTAATGGTCCTCGCCTACGGGACTACCACTCCCATCGGCCAGGCCATTGGCCTCGTTCTGCAGAAGAAATGGGATCCGAGCAGCGCCACGGGCCTTGTGGTTGTGGGCACTACCAATGCCATCTCCTCGGGCCTGCTGGTGTATGCCGGCCTGGTCCAGTTGCTGGCCGAAGACTTCTTGACGGAGAAGAGCTATCGCATTTTGAAGGGCAAGAGACGCGTGCAGGCCTACTTTTCGGTCGTTGCCGGCGCGGCGCTCATGGCAGCAGTGGGAGCGTTTGCTTAAAAGACTTTGGGTAGCGTCATGGCTTTTATTCGTGTGTATATGCTTCTGCCAGAACAATATTGGGGGGGGTTTCTCTTTCCGTATCTATGTTACGGCGAACATAAATTGGCTCTTTTTTTTTTTTCCCCTCTCCTTCTTTTGTGAATGGAGTTTCCATAAAATGTGTATACTAGTACCGTGTTTGGGCGCTGATGGAAAAGGATGGGCAAGCTTTTCATATAGACTCGTTTGTTTTCTCTCAGCATCTGTCTAGTTTAATTTTAGAAGGGGCGTGTCTTGTTGGAATTTTGCAGGCAAGTTTTGCGTTTTGGCATTTTGATCTCATCCATTCACCTACTCCCTTGTGCTCTTTCATGTCTGTCAATGTGCCGTGCCCTTGTTCCCTTGATATAGTGAATTGTGCTTCTCTTTCTGCGCTTCTTTTGAGAGCGTTCAAGCACGGTATTGAAGACAGCGGTGACGACGACTTGACAGCGGGAACCGTGAAGAAACCGTACATGTGCCATGAACCTGCTTTGGCGGTTGCTTGATAGCTGCCCTCGAACAACAAAAAAACAAAAGTTGCATTGCTCTTTCTCTGACTGCCTTACTCATTCGCGCTTAGTTGAACAAAAATGTCTTAACGTCAAGTACTTGACAAAGCTAAATTTCACATTGAGTTGGATAAACAATAAAAAAGGCAACACAGTCGTGATTGAGAGCTTTTGTTCTTCAAAAGAGTTCCCCTGACTAACTGCCATATGACAGATTAACCTCCTCTCAATCAAAGATGGTATTGATAGCTATATAGCCTCGAGACAGTCACTTCCGTTTTCCTAAAAGTATGTCTTTACTTGTTGTCTAGAAATACAGCGCGTTCTCAACCTCTTCTTTCTCATTGAAAAAAAAAAAAGAAAAAGAAAACGATTAAAGAATGGGTGGTTGTCTTTCAACACCCTCAAAGTCTTCAAGACGGCGACGACGTTCTGGATCGTAAGTGATTAGTTCCCCTGTGACACACACGTTGGTGTCTTTTTTGATGAAAAGTACATGTTTTTTTTTTTTTAACTCAGATACATACAGCAGGTATAGATGCGCTCCAGTTAAGTACGAGTACTACTACACGGTCAGAAATGGCGAGACACTGCTGGTGCGGCGCAGAGTTGGTGAATCTCGGCGCCAACGGACCGATGACTCTTCTTCACTTGAAATGAATGTTGCGCCTGAACATCGGAGCCGGCAAAGGAGACACCAGAAGACGAGACAGAGCGGGTCTAACAGCCATCAAAGAAGCAGCCATCACCAGAGCAGAAATGGGAGGAGCACTGGATATGGTGGCGGAAGTCATCGAAGCGATGGTAAGTGAAACATGAATCAAAGGCCAAAAATTGAAACAGAAAGGAGAGAAGACTAATGGATATGTCATGATAAAGGGGCTGGAAGTGCACGAGACGACGAGTGGGAAGCTGAGCAGCGTCGAAATCAAGTCGCATTCTGGGCTAGAGAATCAACTCGCGGACACGATAGAGCAAGCTCTCAAGGAGTTGGTGGCCAGCAAAGCCAGAATGGCGAGCATCCAGATGAAAATGTCTCCTCTCTTCACGAAAATGGCGATGCAGAGGTTGATAATAGGCCTCCACCCTCAAATGCGTCAAAAAGATCAAAAAGAAAGTAAGACAGCCGACAACGAACTTTCCGGTTCCTCTGAACGACCTCTAGAAAAAGTCGACTGGAATGGTAAGACACGCCTTTAACGAAATGTCGGTGAGGGTTCACCATCACCAAGTTACAAAACAGAAAAGGCATCGGTATCGAGGCTAACGCAGTAACCAGATACAAGCGTACGCGTGAAGATGCCGAAGTCGTACAATCTTGGCTATTTTCTTCCAGGCTGTGCCACGAGAAAGAGACTAGAAGCGACCTAGAACACGGAAAGACTCTTTTTCCTTTTCAGAGCCACGAGCAGAAGAAGAAGAAGGAAGCCGAAGACACACAAGGCTTGGTTGCCGAAGCGGGGATGGCCTGATTCAATCCCTTTTTTTTCTCCATCCCATGGCTTCTAGGATATGATGGTGATTGACGGATGGCTTTTCGGGCGGGAAACCGTGTCACATATAGTTTCGAGTGATGGATGGCGTGGGCACATGAGCGGTTGTTTGACTGCATGGGTAACATGGCAATAGCGGGTATGAATGAATGATGGCAGTTGTTGCTGAATAGCCGAACAAGATGCACGCAATCATTGAGAGTGTCTGTGATTCACGGAGATGGGCCTTTAGTAGCGGTAATAGTGCCGTAGAGTGACGTTTTTTCCTTGGCTACTATGAAACAAATTGTACATAATGCCCCGTGAAGCAGTCAATCACGGCCATAAGGTATATACATATATACACCAAGACCAACTGCGCCTCTGCATGTGTATCACGAAATCGGATAATAAAAAGGAGGCACAGTCAATAGGGCATGCCGCAGAAGCTCCGGAACAAAAGAGGCAAAACGGAGTCTCGGCTCTTTTTCTTCGTTTTTGACCTTGTCATGATTATGGACCATGCGTTATCGGCCGTGACAGCTGTCAGTGGCAGCCAGAGTGGCACAATGAATTGAACAATTGCTGCCTTGTTTGTTTGTTTGTCTTTCCGTTTGCCGTCTAACTTTTATTTTTATTCTTATTTTCTATTTCCTCTTCTTCTCCTCGCGTGACTAACCGATGATATTGGAAAACACAGATTACGAACGAGAAAAAAAAAAAAGTCGGAAGAACTACTCCTTTGACATATGCCATCAAGGTTGGATTCTCCAGCGACTTCAGAGGCCTTCATCATATCTTCCCACTGTACACCCTTTCTGACATTTGACTGGAATTCTTTTATTCTCCTTCCTTGTCCAATCTGCCTGTTGCACTTGAAATGGGCTGCTGCTTCTCCAGCCAGGCATCAAATGCCAGTTCCCGCCATGATGAGCAGGGGCAGCATACGGCTCCTCCACCCCAGTAAGGGCTTCACCTCTTCTCTCGTATGTTCATGGGTAGCAGCATGCAAGATACTGACTGCAGAAACCTCGATTAGGAACTGGGACTCCCACGCCCAGACCAATGGCAGCAACGCCCCTCCAGCATCGCCAACCGCCGAGCCAGTTGTGATACCGGCAATTGATGCCACCACCAACGAGGCCTTTGCCCACAACGAGGCAGTTGGACAGCAATCATACGAATTGCCCCGTGCGGAGTCGTCTTCGTCGGCGGCTTCTGATCAGCATGTGATTCTGGAGCCAACTGTCTACGTGCCTCCCTCTCGACCGAGTGTCGCTGCAGAGCTGGAGGAGGCGGCTGTCCACTCGCCGCCACCTGAGCCTGTTGGAGATGGATCCAGATCTGCATCTTCGTCGACCTCGAGCTCTAGCTCAGGCTAATAAGCAGTATGGCCTGACGCATAGTGGAGAGAGACTGGATATCTGATAACGCGTTTCCGGCCCGGATTTCTGGTCATTTACAAAATATTACTACTACTATTGGAAAGGGCTGCTGAAACAATGCACACAAAGAGAGAGAGCAGAGAGCAGGTTTTCTGCAAACGTCTCCCCACCTCCCCTTTTTTGTGTTCGATTCAAGGGAGGGAAAATGCGGTGGTAGCACAATGGAATGGTTGGTGTTGGATGAGACATTTCAGCCTGTGTCTTGGTTGGTGGTTGCATGGCAATGGTGGTGAAAACGGCTCTATTTTTGGCTGGCAAGACATTGATGATCTTTGCAAGCTTCCTGTTTCGGCCGTTTTATGTAAAGAATTAAATTGAATAAAAATACAGCATCTCGTGAGATTTTAAAAATTGTAGCATCAGGTAAAATGACACATGATGTAAGAAATAGACAAAACGAGAAAGAGAGAGAGACTGAGAAGGAAAATATAATAAAATAAAAAAGAGCAAAAAGAGCAAAAAGAGCAAAAAGAGCAAAAAGAGCAAAAAGAGCAAAAAAGATTAAAACATCAGACGACATTTTGGCAAGGCAACTAATAAAAGACAAGGCCTGGCTCCGTCTCTGCCAATCCGGCGACTTTTGCGAAACTTGCTCAAACGCTCTCACAGGCTGCATGCACACGTCCAGGAGCATTTTCTTTGACTGCTACTCGCTACCAAGGCCAACGGTCGAGTGGATACGCAGGGGTGGCGTTTGCGCTGCAACATGAATCCAAGCTGCAAGTCATTTAATGCCCTTTTCTCCCCCCCATCAGATGCCACTTATTCCCCGAGTTTTTAGTTGTCCGAGGTGCCATCCATCTGGCAACACGTCCCCTGCGTTGTGTTTCCACGGTAAGCGGTGTGCCACTCGTTTTCGTTGCTGAGGAAGCGTCCGTGCTCGGCGGGTATAAATAAGGACTGGAACCCATCAGCAGTTGGCATCTACCGAGATCTGAAAGGAGTCCTCCCTCTTTCTCCATCCTCTCTTCCTTCTCCAGGTTTTGGTCTCTTTCTTGGACCTCTTCAGCTCGAGCTCCAGCCTTGTTTCTTGTCATCTCGTTCAGCAGATCCGAGACTCCTTTCATCCTGTCCATCCAACTCTCCATTCATCAGAATCACACATCAGCCATCATGAATATGCCCTCTGGCACCACCATGGCTGCTGGCTCCAGCCCCACTGGCAGTGCCATGAACAGCTCCATGAGCGACATGATGGGCATGGGCGGCTCATGCCAGATTTCCGTGAGTCCTGTGACTTCGATGAGAATAGCATAAGCAACCCAAACTGACCCCATCACCAGATGCTCTGGAACTGGAACGTCATTGACGCCTGCTTCATCTCCGAGTCCTGGCAGATCAAGTCCAAGGGCATGTTCGCCGGCTCCTGCATCGGCGTCATCCTCCTCGTCATGGCCCTCGAGTTCCTCCGCCGCCTGTCCAAGGAGTACGACCGCTTCATCGTCCAGCAGCACGCCGCCAAGTTCCAGGAATCGTCCCCTGCCGCCGTCACCGCCGCAGCCAGGCCCGCTGCCCCAGCCGATGCCACCAAGACGGGCCTCGAGTCCGTCAACAGCCGCGAGCTGGCTTGCCCTGCCGCCGCCGCCATGCCTCCCTTCCGGCCCAGCGTGCTCCAGCAGGCAGTCCGTGCGTTGATACACATGGTTCAGTTTGCTGTCGCGTACTTTGTCATGCTGCTGGCCATGTACTACAACGGTTACTTCATCATCTGCATCTTCATCGGTGCCTACCTTGGCTCCTTCATCTTTCAGTGGGAGACTCTGAGCGTCGGGTAAGCTTCTTCTCGTCTCGGTTCGCCATTCACGGCTTCCGTATGCTAACTCACTCATAGCCCGAAGCAAACCAGTGCTGCCAACGAGGCTACCGTCTGCTGCGGCTAGATGCAACTTTCGACACTCTTGGATGTTGAGTGAAACCGAGCAGCCGAGCTCGATGCCACGCAGAATTCGCGTGCAGTGTTACCATGATGGATCAGGGTGACACGCCGCTTGTCATGTACAAGCAAGATTGCTGCGGTAAAGGAACGCATCATCTTCGGTTAAAGGGCCATGTAACGAATGAATGAAACGGGGGGGTTTAATATTTCAGGGGAAAATAATATGGGCTTTGTATTTGCGCAATGGTGGTTAAGGACAGCTAATAGCTAGGTAGTTAAAAGGTTATAGGTCAAGGTTAACGGTTATATTAATGGAATTCCAGATGGCAATATCTTGCAGAAAAACCGACTCCATCTCAAATCTCGACATGTATTCTGTGATTTGGAAAAAAACATGGCTTCTCATTAAATATCCACCAAGAAGAAGTGTAGAAAAAAACCATTTGCACAAGGCTGTAGAAACGCCCATTGGTGGCACCAAAACATCTCCGTCATCAAAGACAGCGGCATGTCTGGAAGGGGTATCATAGCAACACAACTCCGTGGCCTAGAATGTTCATGCACTGAGCAACATCCCAGCTCTCGTCCAGGGGTCGCATCGCCCAGACTTGCTCCATGATGTTCATGGCTTCCCTGAGCGTTCCAAACAGCTGCAGACCACCGAGCCGGGCCACCAAGCCCTTGTACTTGAATTCATCTTCCGGGGGTGCTAGGCAGCCCGCAACGCACAAAGGCCAGGCCACAGCCCCTAAACAGGTGCCCATCGGGAGATTGTACAGCAGTTCCGTGGTGGTAGACACAACTGAGCTGATTTCCGGGCACGCGGGCTGCCATCCCGACGTCACCGTGTTCAAGTAGATCAAGGCCGCATGCAACCAGATGACGTTGTGTATGGCATACGAAGGCTGCTCGCCGAGAACCGGCACTGAGATGACGGTGGCCTGTGAGTCGGCCGTGGGGCATGTTGTTTGGATGGCCAGGATGCCGCCCTTGATTGCTTCGCCCAGGACCTGGCCTCGTTGCAGGAGCTCGTTGACGGACAAGGAGCCGGCCTGGCTTTGTGCCTTTTTCCACGAGTGCAGTGACGCAATGTCGCCAATGACCTGGATGACCCAGTTGTGCAGTCCGCGGAACTCTTCCATGCGAAGAGTTCCTCCTCCCATGGTGCAGGGGCTCCACGTTGAAGTGTTACACGAGGGTATGATGGAGTTTTGGTAGCTGTACAGCCGGGGCGGGCATCCAAGCGACACGCTCGACAGCACGTCAATGTAGAGCAGGTTGGCCGTGAAGAAGCGACATGCCGCCTGGCTGGTGCTCCACGGCCGCGTCATGCCCATCTCGGACGGTGGCCAGTGGACGTTTATGAGGCTGTTGAGCAGCCCTTCCCAGCCGTCTGGGTTCGGGAGGACCTGCCGGAAGAGCGCAATGGCGGCGTCGAGATGCAGCTTCCAGTTTTCGCGATTGCCCGTAGCGACCTCGAAGATGAGCAGCTGGATGATGCTCTCCATGACGACCAGGCCTTCCTTGGGGTCCAGCTTGCGGCTGTGAAGCGAGCTGACCTCCTTTTGCAGCTCCCGCAGGCCCAGCTCCATTTGGTTCTGCAGGTTCTTGTTCATCTGGAAGAGGCATTCGCCGTGCTCCGGCTCGCCATTGTTCAATATCAATGCAAAGTAGTATGACGCAATGGACACGGTGATGTGGTATAGCGATTTGTTGGTCGACTGCAGCACATCCAGAATCCATCCCCGGCCACCCACGAGGATGTGAGGCCGGTAATGCGGGAAAAGATGCGGAAAGACATAGTCCAGATACATGCAGGCGTAGTGAATATCCGCCGAGCGGTCAGCCTGGGTCAGGCTCTGCTCGTTCGACTCCGCGAACAAGGCCTGCGTGTGCCAGGGGGCTTCCGGCGGAGACGTGGCGGCCGTGCTGCCGCTGGATCCATGGCTGTTGGGCGACTCCTTGGACGACGGCGCCGACGTGCTGGAGTATCCGCGCTCTGAATCGCCTCCTCCGCCCGTCTTCCTAGCCGCCGCCGCCGCCGCCGCTGCATCTTCCGTGGCGTCGCTGATGCTGACCTGCCGGGTGCCCGTCTCCAGCATCTCGAGATACTTGCGATCGCGCCGCTGGCTGGCCTGCTTCTTGACCTGCGACTTGACAAACTCGGTCATTTCCTTCTGCTTGGGGCCGCCGTCCATCCAGTCGGGCTTCTCGCCAAAGTGACAGGTGATTTCCAGCGCATCGCAGCCGGAGCATGAGGGCTTGCGCTCATCGCACTTCTTGCGACGCAGCCGGCAGGTGTAGCACCCGGACTGCGACCGCACCTTGGACGACAGGAGATGCTTGAGGGAAGACATGGTCTCGCCTTCTAAGAGACTGTCTCTCTTTTGGCCTCTTTTGTTTCTCTTGCGATGCGCAGTATTTCTTTCTGTCCTTCTCACTTAAACGCTGAGACGATGAAGCGAATGGCGCGCAATGTCCGTGCTCCAGAGGGCGTGATTACTGAAATGATTGAGGGGCGTGATGTATTGTTTCTTGCGTATTGTCCTGCTGTCGCGCAATCCAGGCCTTCATACGTCCAAAACTGCCCTTGAGTGGAGGTTGAAATGAAGATGCGATGGGTTACTAATGCGGGATACGGGGGGTTTCAGCCAACTGAGCGCCAGCACCGTGAACTCATCGGCGCCATTGCACGGTGTAATACGGGGTTTAGCAGCTGCTTTCTGCGGGCGGCACGGAGAATATGCCGGGCGACCAGACAGGAGAGGCTGCAAGGAGTGAATAAGGCTGAGGGAGTGCGTTGAGCTTTTCGCACGGTGCGGAGGCGACGAATTTCCCGATTCAGATGCTACCCTAATTTTCGTAGGCCTCGGATGGCTGTCGAGGCTGATGTTAGTGACTGCTTCTTGTTATGATGATAATGGATGATCCATTCAGTAGGAGAGGCTACTATATCAGCGAAGAACTAATTTATTAAAGATGTGCAATTGACTGCGTTTGTTTCTATTTTTCTTGTCGTGTTCATTTTCCCAATACGAAGCATTCTCATTTCCCGAAAAACAAAATTACCTCCCCCTTGACAACTACCTCCCAGATATAGAGGCTGTCTGTGATCCACACAATCTTTGTGTGTACTGTAGTATAAATCATAACCAAAAATAATTGCTTTCCAAAACCAGTCCGCCATCACACATTAAGTCTTGATCGTATCTCAATACATCACCGAATTTTTTTTAAAACAAAAGAAAACCTCATCCAGACTTTGAAGCTCCAAACAGCGTCTGTCTCCTTTCCAGCAGTCCCAAGTCCCACCAGCCTTCTATCCGCTGGAGAAGCGTCTTGCGCTTCTTCCCAGTCATCGACATTGGGCTCGCGGGAGGCGGGCTCAAGTTGGAAGATGGCAGCGGAGATGGAGGAATGGGTGGTGGTTTATGAGCTGCGAAAGCCGGTGGCAGAGGCGGTAACGGCGGCATCTCCTCAACTGGACGCTTCATGCTTTGCACGCGAGGCCGCTTCGTCTTCTTCGCTGCCGTGGGTAGCGGGGGGAAATAAGGATGGGAGTCGTTGAGAACCTGAACAGGAATGTTCATGTCCAGATCTTCATCGCTACTATCATATAGCGACCTCCTGTCCTGGTGCTGTTTGTTTGCCATGGCCATCGTTCCAAGACTCCGGGCCTTGCGCAGCACATTTGGAGTCGGAGGCACCCCCGAGAAACCGTCACGGCAGCTATACCCTCATTCAAAGTCTGTTGTTTTGCGAGGGCGGTCCGCACCTCCCTTGATGCGCCTCCATAGGCAGATGGCCGCGACGGCTGACATGAAGAACAAGATGGAGGTTGCAATGGACAGGCCCCAGACTGCTTTGATTTCGTAACACGATGCCTTGCTGGGAGCAGCCCACTGGAAGACATCGGATGACGAATGCTTGACGTTGGCAAAGAGCGAGTAGATGAAGGCGCCAGTGTTTCCCTGCTGGGGAAAGGCGCTGCAGTTGAGATAGCTCACGGGCCTGCCGACAACACAAGCCACGACAATGGATGCGATGAAGCATAGACCGTCTGCTGCGGTCGCAATGAGGAGAGGAAGCATATGGTCCCAGTAAAGGATGTACGAGATGATGATGTACACCATAGCCAGACACGCCTATTACAGATTGTTAGTCTTCAACGCCAACTACAAACCCGTTTCAAAGGGAATAGCGAGGAGCGGAAAGAAAAGAAAACCCACCACAACCAGTGTGCCAATCAGGGCAGATGGGGTAGAAACCGAAGTAGAGACCAGCTCCGCGACGAAGTTTCCACTAAGGCCAATGATTGTAATGAGACAAACTGCCTGCAGAAGCCTCATTGCCGTAAACATTGCGCCCAGGGCACCCAGCGCCGGCGGGGAACCCATATTGACACGAGGTAAAGTTTGAATTGAGAGTTTGGGCCGCGTGCGGTTTGCCGTCTTGAGAGGGAAGTGTTTTGAATATTGTGGGATGGGAGACGACGAAGCCGAAAAGGATGAAATTTTGCCGGCGGGGGGTATTCGACCAGCAAAGGTCGAAAAGACAGAAGAAGAAGAAGAAAAAGAAAAAGCTGAAGGAAAAGAAGGTGGAAATTTATAAAAACTGGGGTTGTGAATCTCTTCTAGAGATATTTTATAGAGAGATGGATGAAGCCTTGAAAGGATAACTCGAGTTGCAGTATTAATATGAGAAAGAGGCGTTGAAGTTCCGATGAAAGACAATGATACCGTGAGCCGTGAGCCGAGAAAGAAAGACCGAAATAGTAACAAAGGGAAAAAAGAAAAAAAAAAGGGGGGTGGAGAGGTAAATGGCTTGTGATGAAAGACTTGATTATGCAGAGGAAAGAGAGATCGAAACACACAAAGAAGGCTCAAAGGACTCTTATATGTTTCCCATCTCTCAGGTTCTACGTACAGCTCTTTGTCACTCTACAGACGCTCCCAACACACGCGCCAAATCATCATGGAACAGACCACTAGTCTGATCTAATAAACTTTGCCGCAGACAAGCGAGACAAATTAAGCGCGGCCGCGTTTCAGGGCCATCCATCTAGATCCCCTTTTCGCAAATCTCACAATTAGAAGTAAGAATAGCAAAAACTTGGGTGCTCCACCTACTTTTTCATGGAAAACACCGGACTCCATGTCAAGTTTCACGGTGAGCCCATGCCAGCCGCCTAGCCCAGCCAGTAAAAATACAGAAGCTTAGACTCTCAATTCTCAAACGAGCCAATTTTTATTTCTGTTTTTATCGCTTCGTTGCATCTCAACCATGATTTAAGCGCCGGAGGACCCATTCGGTGAGCCGGAGGATCGAGCCCCACCAGCCCGACGATTGGATCGGAGCGCTCCGCTGCGCAAGATTTCGCTTTGGCACCCCTGCTTTCCGGGATCGCGTTCCTGCATTTGTGCAGATATAGAGGAGAAAAAATTGGAGGCTCAGCTCGATGGCTTGTTTTCACTTTTACGAGGCGGCTGCATCGTCGGCCGCATGTTTTGCTGAGGCGGAATAAAAAAGGGAACCGGGTTGAGCCAATCGACGACTTTTGTCGGCACAGCGGGCCGGGTTCACGGTATAGCATGAAACGCGAACAGCCAGACGATGCGCCGAGAAAACCTGTTTTTGCTCTTACATTAATGTACACTAATCATTCTGGTTATTCACGGCTACAATTTTGTTCAAACTGTCCCAAATTGTTGCTTCGAATTCATCAACTCGTGCGCCGTAAACGCCAATCTAAAACCCCAACTTCGAAAATGCTGCATCTCCATCGCTCGCCTGTGGGATGGTCTGAACGCTGCTTTTTTACCGACATGTTCCAGCCACCATAATTCATATTATTTTATAGCCTATCCTCACCATCTCTCAGCCTCTGGCCTCTACTTACTTACCCAAGCAAATCTCCAGAGGCGGAACCCCCCTGTGGAGCTGAAGAGGGGTTTGCTGCGGGTGCTCCCCAGATGCTAGCGCTGCTCTTCTCCTTGGCCAGTTGGCCCAGTGCTGGCCCAGCGGTGGGAGTGCTAGGCTTCTTGATGCCGACACTAGCTTTGCCCCAGAGAGCACCAAATGCATCTCCGCCGCCAGAGGCTGCTGCTTTGCCATTGGACTTGTTGGCAGGTTGCAGACTGGCAGTAGGAGTCATGGATGAGACGGATCCTCCGGTAGCTTGAGCCTGTACAGTGCCAAAGTAATTGGGTCCTGTGGGCTGGAAGCCCGCAGGCTTGGCAGGCTGCACCGGAATGCTGAATGCTGAGTTCCCAGCAGCAGGCGTGGCATTGTTGCTGCCGGCTGGTGAGATGGAAGCGATGTTGACCATCTGGCTGATGCCGGCTTGCTGCGGCGCCGACAGGGGCTTTGGTGCAGCGAATTGGGTGTTTGAATACGTTGGCGAAGTTGGCGAGGTAGGAGATAGGGGCTGAGCTACAGGCGCTGAGGGAGCTGCCGATTGAAAGTCGTCAAACTCGTCATCATCATCATTGGCGGGAGCGGCGGTGCTGAGGGGAGCGAATCCGCCCAGTCCAGAGCTGCTGGATGCGGCTGCTGGAGCAGCTGCAGCGGGCTCGTCAAATGAGAAGAGGTCCACCTCAGGCTCTTTCTGCTTGGGAGGCGGCGCCGCTGCCTTTTTGGCTGGAGAGCGTTCTGAACTTCTCGCGGGACGAGAAGAACTGGCCGCGGGACGCGCTCCCTCGTCGTATTCGTCGTACTCTTCGAATCTTTCCGACCGGTTCTGGGTGTCGCGGAAATCGCTCGATTGGCCACCGAAGCCGCCACCATCGCCATACACACCACCCGAGTATCCGCCATAGTCCCCAGAGGCACCACCACCGCCATAGCTAGACTCATTGCCGAAGCCGCCAAAGCGACCGCTGCCGCCGCTTGAGAAGCCGCCCATGCCCATGCCTCCCTCAGAGCCGGTATACTTGTTCTTTGTTACTCGGGCCTTTTTGCGCTCGGAGCGAATCCGCTCAACGTCGCCCAGGAGCTCGGCAAGTTCCTTGGCTCGGTTTCGTACGTTGATGCCTTGATCTTTGCCATTCTGGTCAATGAAATGGAACTGGCGCAGCATTTTCAGAAGCGTAATGTGTCCGCGCGCATCGTCAACAACACGCTCCGAGCCATGCTTGATGAGGAATTCGAGTAGCTGTAAGCTCTTGTAGATTTGGCGCCACTCTTCCGCAGACTTTTCTGTGAATCGACGATAGATCATTGGCATAATCTCATTGAGTTGTTGACTGCATCGACGTTAGAATTCAGCAGGCATGCATCCATTTGGGTAGCCGTGCGTGCGTACTAATTGAATGTGCCGTTGGCAATCTCTTGCATCAGGGTGGACGATGCTCCCCATGGCTCGTTGTTCGTCGCCTCTCGTACCTAGGGCGCCGCATTCTCAGCAATCAAGTTTCGTCGTAATTTCGTTACTAAAGCAAACCTTTGCCTCCATCTCGGTATAGTTCATGACGGCTAATCGATCCTCGGCGTTAGCATTAATCCCCTTGGATTCCATTGGGCTGGGAAGTGAGCGCCATACCATTTTGCGCCTTCCGGAACCCGGCCTTGAGATCATACAAGGTCAGGTTCGAGACGGTATTCTTCAAATCGTTCAAATCCATTTTGGAGAGACCCAGTCAGCAGAGAAAACACGATAGAATTGTCCAGGAGAAAGTTGAAGGCAGAGCCGGATGGGTGACGAGACTGGCGATGATAGTAGTTGGAGCTACACGGTGTCGCCGAGCCTGGACACTTGGACACAAGCGCTGGGTCCACTGGCTCGGGCTGCTAGCACGTTACGACGAGTCCGACGGTCACGTGATGTCAGCTATTAACAGTCGCAGTGCCGTCAATTGAGGCTATTCAGTCGTCAATGCTAGAGTTGTCTGATGCGTCAACAGTAGAATACTAGTAAGACTATAGACTGTGACATATTGCATGGAATTTTCTTGTGCTTTACAGGCTCTCTTGGCTGAACATGTAGTGTAGTCTTCAAGTCCATCAATTGCCCACCTGCCTCAGTCTCCCCATTCCTAGACCCCGACTATGGATTATTAACAGCGACCTGCGCCGGATCCGCGCAAAGACAGCCTGAGACTTCAGGCCATAACGGCAGCAGTGCGCACTGGCTACTGACATCACCCAAAACTCTTCACCTCTCTGCGAGCTGTCCCATCAACCCCGGAATCGAGGCTACATCTTTTGCTTGGATCCTTGTGTGTAGAATCACCACTGTAATACGCTTGACCTCCCAGGTATGCTTCTCTTTTTTTTTTTTGCCCTCCTCTTTGTGTTCCTCTCCCAATCCCATGCACCCGCAACCCGTCATCCGGCCTTTGCAAATGAACCAGCGGCCAAGGACATGTTTCAAAGCAACAGGGCCAAAAAAAATCTGCTCCTTGTTGGGACAATTCCAGCCAATTGCCCGCCCCTCAGGAATTGCACCGCCTGGCGGGCTTGCCTCGGGCCTTTGAACCGGTTTTGGCCATTTCTTTGCTGGGAGCTGCGCAGAATTCCAAACAGCCAGCTTTCCTCTGGGCATGGGCCAAATGATAGGCGGAGCAGCTCCGCCCGCAGGAAGAGGTTGGAAGGGCTTGGTGCTGGACCGTCCAATCACGGCGCGCCTCTGCCCACCGCCCACCTGTTGTCTGGCGCACACCAAGTCACGTCAGCTCTCGGACGGCGATCGGGAGCCAACCGTGCAATTGCGGCAGAACCGCGTCGAATCCAGCCATTTCGCCGCCTCCTGGGCTGTTCCGGGTCTCGAGCGCGAGCTGAACGATCAATGGGCCTTTGGAGAAGCGAGCGTCGGGCAATTGCTGCTGCAGCCGTGGACAACGCCGTGCGAACAAAGCTCTGACAGCTCGACAGCTCCGAGCTTTGCCGCCCGCTAATTTGGCGTCGACGTCAAGCTGCCGCTACCCTGGGCCAAAACACGTGATCGGCTCCTCTCCTCGCACCCCACCGTCTCCCTTGTCTGTGGCGCTGATTGGCTGGTCTCAGTTACTAATCCTTTACCCCTCCAGCACAATTCAAAATGAGATCAGCTCTCTTCCAACCCCTCCTACCCCGCCATACCTTTTGCTCCCCCGGCTTAAGAACTTTCTCTCTCCCTCAACGCATTGCTACTTCATCCACCTTTGCGACCACTCGATTCTATTCACAGCCAGCCAAAATGTCTGCCAACCGATCCCGAGTGTAAGTGCCGTTTGAACTCCCCAGAGAACACCACCATCCTCTAACTATGTCAATGCAGTTTCTTCGACATCGCCTGGAAGGGCCCCGTCTTCAAGGACGGCAAGCCTACCGCTGAGATCAAGGGTGAGTCTATTCTGCCGCAAACCCCAATTCGCTAGCGCTCTCAATGAAAGACCGCGAAGAGAAGCGAAATGGATACAAGTGGAAGCTCAACATGCTGCCCGCTTCTGCTTCTCTCTTGGTCTAATCGCTCTACTGCTCCGGCCATGCCTGCTCCGGCACCGATTGGCTGTTTCGCCTTTGCTCTCCCAACTCTCACCGCATGTAACTGTAGCCCCCTTTGAGACTTGGATACTAACACGTCCATGATGACAGAGCAAACCGGTCGCATCAACTTCACCCTGTACGACGACGTTGTCCCCAAGACCGCCGAGAACTTCCGTGCTCTCTGCACCGGCGAGAAGGGCTTCGGCTACCAGGGCTCATCTTTCCACCGTATCATCCCCAACTTCATGCTCCAGGGTGGTGACTTCACCCGTGGTAACGTATGGCTTCTTCGCCCCAAGAAACAAATTGTTAAAAGACAGTTGACTAACACATCTCCAGGGTACCGGCGGTAAGTCCATCTACGGTGAGAAGTTCGCCGATGAGAACTTCCAGCTGAAGCACGACCGCCCCGGTCTGCTGTCCATGGCCAACGCTGGCCCCAACACGTAAGTCCACTTCTATCAAGCATTTTGATGCGACATTATTGGCTAATTCACGATCCAAATAGCAACGGCTCCCAGTTCTTCATCACCACCGTTGTCACCTCTTGGTTGAACGGCCGCCACGTCGTTTTCGGCGAGGTCGACCAGGACTGCCTGGGCATTGTCTCTGCCCTTGAGGCCACTGGCCGTGATGACGGCAAGGTCAAGTATGAGCCTCGCCCTACCATCACCGCCAGCGGTGTCCTGTAAGCTTGTGTAGTGCGGCTACATGCTCTGCATGTCCATTTGGCGGCAGTCTGAGACCATGATTTTTGTTGTGGCGGATAAAAAGAGGCTCAAAAGAGCGACTACATCGCTATATCCTTTAGCTAGTCATTAGGGTGCTGCAAAGCAGAAGAAAAAATACAAATCTATCGTATAATTCAAAATGACCATTCAAATCTCCGATCTCCTGATCAGCCACTGTGTTGACCAAAGTAAAAAAAAAAAAAAGTGTAAGTGTAAGCAGCCCATCATGTATGTGTAAAAGGCATCAGATAAAAGGTTGGAATATCAACATCCCTCTCCATAAAACACATACACTTTCGATGTACCTATTGTCTCGAGGCCTTTTAAGAAGCCATGTGTGTTTTGAGTCCCAATACAATCTGTATTTTTACGCTCAATCTTCCGCAATAGCCCATCTGCTGACCCATTATGCGCCAAGTGCCAAGTAGTATAGAGATATATATACACATTCCCAACAGGTTATGTTGCGAGGAATATCCCATGCCAAATAAACTCCAAACAATGCAAATTGATATCTTTTTTTTCTTTCCTTCCAACCCCTTCCCGCTCTCCCCACATGTCTTTTAAAAGATCTCATCTTTGCCCAGCCATTTCTTGAAATATTCACAGTTGCTAGGCCCTACAGGACCACCATCCTCGCACAAGTCAAATACGGGGCACCGTCCACAGGGCACCTCTGCCAAGGGACTGATGTACAGCTCCGGCCCGCCATCACGGCCCGAAGGGTCCTCGCGGCCGGCCCAGCTCTCGACGGACTGCTTGGCGATGCGCGAGACGCGGTAGCCGACTTTGCCGGCGATGCGGACGGGCTCGATGAGGTTGTCCCAGACGAGGACGTCGACAAGCTTCTTGACGTCGCCCTCGGACAGGATGGTGTTGTTGGTGATGCCGCTGGAGGAGAGGAGGCGGGCAATGTCACGGACGGTTGGGTAAGCCGTGTAGCCGGCTGGTAAGGGCAAGAGAGCGGGTTCTCTGCGGGAGGAGGAAACGGACGTTTTGGGGGCGGCGGCGGCTTTGCCTTCCATCTCGGAGGCGTCGCGCTTCTTGCCCTTGTTGGCAGCAGCATCTGCGGCTGCGACGAGGCCGCCCTTGATGACGCCCTTTTTGGGAGCTTGTGTGCTGCCTGCTGCTGCTGACGCTCTGGCCTGCGCTGCGCCATGAGTGCTGTGGTAGCTGCTCTGGCGCTTGATAAAGTCGAACACGACGCGCTGCAGGTCCTCGATGAAGGCCTCGTCCAGGTCCTGGTCCGTATACCAGGGCCCACCGGTGGCGCGGTCGCTGGGCCGGATGGAGGCCTTGATGTACATCTTCTTGTTGGGGTGCTCGACGTTCTTGAAGGGCGCGATGAGGCCCTTTGCCTGCAATTGCTTGATGGCGTTTTTGAGGACCGAGTCGTGCATGTTGAGGCGCTTCTGGAGCGTCTGCGTCCAGATACCGTCGCCGCCGGAGTCGTCGATGAGGGAGTATACCATGACTTGCTCGTCTGTTGTGCATTGCTTGTACCTGTAGTTTTACATGATTTAGCAAACCTTCGCCGTCTATATAGATGGGGAATAACAAGGCAGATCCTCACTTATGCGCCTCCTGCTTGTCTCGCCACTTCCACAGCACCTGTCCCGACGCCTCCCTCATCGTGATGAACAGCTTGTCGTCGCTGAGCGACTGCACGACCCGCGCAAGCAGCAGCAGGTCCCGGTTGGGAATCACCTCCATGCGGAGGAGGTCGTCCTGCGAGAACATGTCGCCTTCTTCCCGGCACCGGTCGTAGAGCAGCTCCTTCAGGACGGCCAGCTTCGCGGAGTCGGCATCGCTGCCATTGGCCCTCGAGGAGGAGCCAGCAGCGACGGGGGCCGACATTGCGACAGCTGTGGGGGAGGAAGAGGATCTGCGAGTTTCTGTTTTGAGGCTGGAAGTGGTGGTTTGAAATTCCCAGATGATATGGCCGTCGGAGGAAAAAGGTGCTGATGGCAGCAATGCAGAGTAGCGAAAAAAAAATACAAATACAAAAGTAACAAGGCTTTATGAGTCACCAGGCTGCCTTTCTTTTCTTCTTTCTTGCCTCCTTCTTCGTCTTCTCCCCTCTCAATGAAGCGTAGTCAATTGATTTGTTAGCGCTACATTGACTTGGGCGTCTTGGACGAGAGTCCCTCTCGCTCTCTCTTCACTTTTCTTATCAGGTCGGGGCGATAGGCCCAAAGTGCGTACAGTTTCTATGGTGGGACACGAGCCTGCTGCTTTTTTTTTCTGGGCCTTCAATGGGAAGAAGCCTAGTGGGTACTTTGCAGCAGCCTTGCATGCCGGAAGAATCTCGGCTTTTGCGGGAGTGTGTCATTCATGCAGAATGGATGTCAATCTTGCTTAAATGCAATAGAAGACAATTGGCATTCACGAGATTTGTAATTGTATCTGATAATTGCTTTTCCAAGAGGTATATATTGAATTGGTTATAGAATTACTCTTTTGTACGCTATTGATATAGACTCCAAGCAAATAAGAAATAAATAAAGCAATCGGCCAAACTTGAACAATAAAGAATCGAACTGACATTAACTTGGCGCCCAACAAATGGCTCGATATTGCCATATGGTGTTTTACGTGGCCTGCCAGTATACCTTGCGCCGGAAACGCCTCCCTCGCCTGCCCACTGATCTACAACGTGAACTGCATCAACGTGATTTGGAGTGCCTTTGCTCCATGGAAACCAACCGAGAGTCTTACTGCTCGGGGGATGCTCAAGCAGGCGGTGTGCTGGCCTTTTTGGGCTCCGCCTCGTCCTTTTCTTGATCAATCTCCATTGCATCTGCGGGCGGCTCCGTCTTCTCTTTCGTATCGGATGATGCCTCGGGAGACTTCTCTGGCTCAGCCTCTGAAGGCTTTGATTCTTCTTCGGTAGCTGGCTTTTCGGCAGCGGCATCAGCAACAACGGCATCAGCTTCGGGGGCGGCTTCGGGGGCGGCTTCGGGGGCAGCTTCGGGGGCAGTTTCAGCTTCAATTTCGGCTTCGGCTTCAGTTTCAGCTTCAGCAGTGGCAGCAGCTTCGGTAGTGGCGTCGGCAGCTGGCTCAGACTTCTCTTTTGAACTCTCCTTTGGCTCTTCTTCTGCTACGGGGCTCTTGCTGGGAACCCGCTCGGGAGCTGGTTCAGGTTCAATCTGCTCTTCCTTGATAGCCTTTTCTTCCTTGGGCTCCGAATCGTCGGCCATGCCAACGTCACCATCATCATCTACCTTGTCCTTTTCTTTGTCGCTGTCCTTTTCTTGTTCGCTTTCTTTCTCCGCCTCTTTGTCCTTTTCAGGCTCGTTGGGCTCGTTGGGCTCGTTAGGCTCTGTCTCCTTATCCAAAGCCATCTTTTCTTGGTCGGCTGCAAAGTCTTCAATGGTATCGTCGTTAACATCTTGGGTTTCCTCTGCGGCTGGCGCTTCAGGAGCGCCGCCATTAGTGGCTGTGGCGGGGGAGGCCCGTTCGCTGTCATCTTCCTTGTCGCCTGTACGGTAATCGTTAAAGGTTCTTTTATTGCCGTTAGCACGGGTGGCTCCGTTTGCGCGGGCCATTTCATCGTCGTCGCTAGGCTCAAATTCATTCTCATGCTCGACACGCTTATCCCAGCGATGTTGAGTCATTCGGACGTCTTTGTTTTCATCTTCGTCCATGTCATCCAGTTCGGCCTCCTCTTCATCAGTCATGCCACCAAATGGCTTCCGAGGAACATCTTGCATCTGAACCGACGGGGCCGGGCCGGTGTGGCGGAGGTTATCAATGACAGCAGCAGTAATCTTCTCCAGATACTCTCTGCTGTTGGAGTTTTCCATGTTAGATGACCTAACATTTAGCTCAAAATCAGGAGCATAATACTAGTAGCCGTATTAGCACAAAACACTCTAAATCATGACAAAAGGACAACACATGGACCAACCTCGTAATACTCGTTGTATGGAAGGGTCCGGTCCATCTCTTGACCAACCAGGACACCCGTCTCAAATGCCCACGTTCGGGCAACATTACGCATGGTGTAGCCGCCTCCACCAAGCACCAGAGTAGGCAAGTTGAAGCTCTTGACAAAGTTGACACAGTTGGCGTGACCATCCATGCTCAGGTTGAAGGCACCCAGACGATCTCCAGACAGACTGTCTCCACCACATTGCAGTACGACAGCCTCGGGCTGGAAGTATTTCATGACGTTCTCAATGACAGGCTCGAAGATGGATTTGTACGAGTCGTCGGTGATACCGTCGCGGAGAGGGAAGTTGACAGCGTAGTTTTTGCCTTGGCCAATGCCAATGTCGCGAAGTTCGCCGGTTCCGGGGAAGTATTCGCCGTATTTGTGAAATGAGACGGTCATGACACGATCGGTGGTGTAGAAAGCCTCTTCAACGCCATCACCGTGGTGAACGTCAATGTCGATGTAGAGCACACGCTTCATAAATCGAAGGAGTTCGAGGATTCCGAGGACGATGTCTGCCAGTCAATAATTAGGTTATATGGATTACACGGCGATGTGGATTCTGGATTCGTAGGAGAAAGGATAAGAATGTAGAAAAGAGCTTACCATTCACGTAGCAGAAGCCACTGGCTTCGCATTTTTTCGCGTGGTGTAGACCGCCAGCCCAGTTGATAGCGATGTCGCATTTTTGCCGATTGAGACGCGCTGCGCCCTCCATACTGCCGCCCGCACTGATGCCGCAGAATTCAAAAAGGCCGTCGAAAACGGGGCAATCGTCACCGACGTTGTATTTTCCCTGCTCTCGCATGTAGCTATCCATGTTGTCGGGGGTAACCTTTTGCAGGAAATCGATGTAATCGTCGGTATGGAATTGGGTCATTTCGCCGCGAGTAGCCGGTTTGGCGCGCTGTTGTCCTGTCAGTAAATATCAAAAATCGCATGAGACACTGTCATTGTGCCAAAGTGTTGCGATGACAAGAGGCTTATGGTCGACATACGTAAATCTCCATCTTCTGATACAGATTATACTGCATAATCAGACTATGGGCCAGTCGAATTCGATGAGGCTTCATGGGATGGCCGGTGACATAGGCGTAGTTTCCAATGTCAGAATCGTAAAAGTAGGCGACTTTCTTCGGCGATGACCCATTGAGGGCCACCGAGCCGAGTCCCGACATGGTGGTGTCGCCCATGAGGAAAAGCTGTAACGCTGGGCTGCTTTGCTTGTAAGAGGTCGAGAAGCGCCGGGTGGCAGGGTGTGGCTGATGCTACTCTTGGCGAGAAAAGAGAGTAGCAAAGAAATGAAAAGAATCCAAAACTGGATGAATTAGCAATGCGAGTAATCGGTCAAAAGGATTTTCGCATAGCTGCGTTGACGGTGGTGATGTGAAAGAAAACTGAGTATAAGTTGGCAGCAGTGGAAAGCCGATTAACTTTCGGCAAGGGAAGCGCGGCGGCCAAGCAGAGAGGCCGCTGGCTGGCGAGCACAAGCGGATAAATATTGGGGCGGCAAGGCTGCGAATCTGGGTTGATCCACTAAAGTCTTGGAAAAAGTTTAGCAATGGCGTCTGATTGGCTTGTCTATTGCCGAAAAGACGCAGCCGGGCAAGGCTTGATGGTTTCTATCTTGGCTAACGTAAGCGTGGCCAGTCGAACGGAACGCTTTCACGTGATGTGATTATTCAGCTTCCACCCTTGTAGCAGGCTGCCGAGAAACTGCGTCAACGGTTATTGCTTGATACCAGCAGCTAGCTACTAGAGGGGCCCAAACACCAAGTTAGGAACACGCAAACAACACACACATACGCCTCTCCCTGCCACTTCTACAGCTCTTCCAGTACGGTTTTCCTTACAATTTTCTTCATACATTTCATCTATACCGATAACTACAAGCACATTTCACGACCTTGAACATGGAGCGATTTAGGAGTTTGTTGGGCGGCGGTGGCATGGGTTTGGGAGGAGTTACTCCAGGCACGGTAAGCTTTGGATCAGCTGGAATTGCATTGCTTGAACGCAGCTATATCCCCTCTAGCTGGAGCAAGCCGCATGACCGAAATCAACTGCGATATTCGTTGCTAACGGGTGTCGTTATTACAGGATAACATAAGCTTGATCGATAACTCAGAGACAGTCTACATCTCATCCTTAGCCCTGCTGAAGATGCTCCGACACGGCCGAGCAGGTGTGCCGATGGAAGTAATGGGTCTCATGCTGGGCGAGTTCGTCGACGATTTCACAGTCAAGGTCATGGACGTGTTTGCCATGCCCCAGAGCGGAACTGGTGTCAGTGTTGAAGCCGTCGATCCCGTATTCCAGACCAAGATGATGGATATGCTGCGGCAAACTGGAAGGTAAGCTGCCAAGAACCGTATATGGCTGGCCTGGAAGATCTCTAGAAGGAGAAGGTTAAATTATGTCGTGGCTGGGGCTAACAGAGACGTATAGACCGGAAGCTGTCGTCGGATGGTACCACTCGCACCCTGGATTTGGCTGCTGGCTTTCTTCTGTTGACATCAATACTCAGCAGTCGTTTGAGCAGCTGAATCCCCGTGCAGTGGCTGTCGTTGTCGATCCTATACAGTCGGTGAAAGGCAAGGTCGTCATTGATGCTTTCCGACTCATCAATCCACAGCTCCTCATGATGGGTCAGGAACCCAGACAGAGTACAAGCAACCTTGGACATTTGAACAAGCCGTCCATCCAGGCTTTGATCCACGGACTCAACCGACACTACTACTCGATTGGCATCAACTACCGCAAGACGGCACTAGAAGAGAATATGCTCATGAACCTCCACAAGCACGTATGGACGGAAGCTCTAGAAATGGACGATTTCCGGACAGAGGGACAGAAGAACAAGGAGCGTCTGGAGAGACTAGTCAGCCTGGCAGATGGCTATGAGAAGAGAGTCAAGGAGGAGACTGAGCTGACTAAGGAGCAGCTCAAGACCCGCTACGTTGGCAAGCTGGACCCCAAGAAGCACTTGGAGGATGTGGGCCAGGAGCTGATTGAGGACAACATTGTGTCGGTGTCGAGGCAGATGATTGACAAGGAGGCGACGATGCCAAAGAAGAACGGGGCACTGGGAGCAGCGGCCCAATCAAGTGAGGACCAGATGGAGACGGAGGAGGAGTTATAAGGGAGGATCAAACCAGGGAGAGCAACCATTACCACGGCTTCTTTCGCACTACTTGGAGCTACTGCTACTGCATATAACAAAGGTGGTGGTAGTTGGGCAGCACTTGGGAAATACTTGGGAACAGAACCGTAATATTTGTTTTTAAAAAATGAAAATAAAAACTAAACTGCTGCTAAAATGAAGCTTGGAATGACACGAACGGGTCCTCGGGGCGGTGACGGTGTATCAGACAACATGCTGATATATGTTGGGGCGGTGGCTGGTCATATGGTGGTTGTTGCGTGACCATGAGCGAATAGTAGTGTCCGCATGCGTGTAGTGTAGTGTTACCAGCTGGTTCGTATGAGAGAGGATAGCCAAGCGTCACGGGAGACAAAATGATGGCAGAAATATCATGTTAGGATTATTTCTAGCAAAAGAAAAAAAACAAACAAGCATTGACTTTGTGTTTCGGGAGCGGGAGGAGGTCCATTACGTGCTGGTGCCTCCACGCCGGTTCGTGCTTAGGCGGTGGCATCAGTCTTGTCACGTTGTCGAGTTGAGATTTCGACCTTGGACCCCTGCACCTGAGGGCTTGAAGCCGTAGTCGGGCAGCACGATGCATGACATGTCACTACCTTGTTTGCAGGCAAATTACTGCTGTCGATGCCGCCTTTCTTTGTCTCTTGGTACACTATTTGATTCAGCAGCAGTAGCAATAGCAATAGCCCAGGCTATATCTAGAGTGCTACATGACAGACTTGGGTGCTGGATAACTTTCTCCATCTTATATCAAAGTGCTGCGAGGACAGACAACTACCGCAGTTGTAGGCACGAAGAAAGCGTAATTGCTTGGCGGTGGAAGCATCTGCATTCCGAGGTAACGCATATGAAAAATGAAATGGCAAGGATGGGGCAATACCCTGTCAAGTTTTGCTCACACAGAAGCAGCTGCTTCCAAAGGCAGCATGATGCTGTTGATCCATTCCGTATAAGTCGGTGTATCCCGCGTGTGAGTGCTTTGCGCAACGCCCATATCCATCCAAGTCGGTATGCCCACGCACTCACTTGTACACACACTCGCACTCGCACATGTTGAACCCCCAACGAAAGCCGTACCAACAAGTCGAAGGAAGAAGTGATGACATATTACTTGGTACTACAAAGAGAAAATAAGACATGTTACGTTTTTTCTTTTTTTTTTTTCTCGTTTGCCATTTGCTCAAGACAGGGCAACACAAATCCCACGCCATCTACGGTCTCGCTTGGGGCCTGTGGTCCAACTTGGCATCAGTCACACGGGCGGTTTTTTTGGCATCAGCCGGTGCTTGGTTCGATTGGGCTCTAACAAGCGGTCTCAGCGGTCTCAGCCCTCCCAAGCCAAGTCGACCCCTCGGGCTCGACCCCTCCTTCATGTCATGCTGTCTTGATTTGTCCCCTGAAGAAGAGGCGCGCATTAGCCCTGGCAAACACGCAGCGGCCGGGGTCCCAATCAGTGGACAGACGTGCGGTGTGTCTCGCAGCCCGTGGAGGCGCCACAGGGATGGAGGCCTGGAGGACTAGAGGATAGGATAGAGGCGACGAGGCCCCACGGCGGCGCCCCAGCAGCGACAGGCCACAGTCTCAGATGACGGGCTCGTTGGACGCTGATTCATCCCGGCCTTTTTTGGTGGGTGCGGCGGTGGATATGCAGAGGGTGCTGCGGAGGGAGGAGCCCCAGCGCGGACTCGATGGCTTGACTGGCTCTTTGGGCGAGCTGGCTGCAGCTACTAAATGCGCACGGCAGGGCTAGCACTGGAACTAGCAGCGCTGAGGGCTGCGACAGATGCAGATGCAAATGCAAATGCAGATGCAGATGCAGCCCGAAGAAGACGAGGAAGAAGAGCAGAAGAAGCAGCGGCAAACGCAGGGAAATCACGAAGAAAAGAGAGACATTTGAGAAATTGGCTACCCAGGCAGTTACAGTAGACGGTTACGGCACTTATGTATAAAGATGGAACTGCATGCGAGTGCTAATGCCGGGCAGCAATTCCCGTCTCCATCTGCTAGCACTCTTTAGCGGTTGCAGCAGCAGGCATTTCAGCGGAGCCCTCCCCCAGCAGGTGCATGAGCGGCGGCGCACCAACAACAATCAGAAATTGAGCCAGGCGTCGAATTAATATCATCAGCTGTGGCGGCAAACGCCAAACGCCATGGACGTGGACGTGGACGTGGACGCGGTGGTTGCACTGGACATCGTGGATTGGACGCGTTGACCAGTGGTGGCACCAGAGACTGGCGACGAGCAGGTCTTCGCGCTGCCTCGTGTTTGTAAGCGTGCAACTTGTAAACGACGGAGAGCGAATCGCAAGTCTGGGTCCGGCAGCAGGCCTGTGGATTGGGTACCTACTTGCAGGCTCTTTGTATACAGTGTGTCAGTGGCTGCAGCTGCAGGGGTCGCGGCGCAGCATTGCATTCACGCTTCCATTTTCTTCAACTTCGACGTCCGCTTCAATTCTTGGTCTCGTCGCCCATGAATTGCGCTGCTGGCGATTCCTGCGCGAGTGTCCCATCGCTGTCCGCTGCGCCCTCTATGGGCAACGGCCTCCCCCATGCGCGCACCACGCATCACGCACTCGCCCATACCTATACTGTACATCTCGAGGCCCTCGACTGCATTTACACGATAGCGCTGTGGCCGCGGCATCGGTTAACGCAGGAGATCCGCCGCGAGCCCCTGTTTGCCGCCGCTGCTGTCATCGCCGCTGCCATCACCTGCACCTGCAGGAGCCACCACAACAAAGAACAAAAAAATAGCATCGCATCATCGCCTCTCCTCCCCTGCTCCGCAGTCTGGGGCGCCGGCATCTCGTGCGTCGGCTGATGCGAATTCCTCGAATACCACCGTTGCTACCTTCATACACCAGCAATCGGCAGTCAACAGAAAGAACTGTTGGCGGTCCCAACGGCTACTGGTTACGGCCGCTATAATTCGTACCGTAGTAGGCCTACCTCAGACTCGACCTATATCTGCGTGTGCATCTTCGACTCTTCCGGCTTCCACCACCACCACCACCGTTACCACCACAATTACCAACCGACGTCGTGGTGGCCGCGGTGGTGCTGGCAGTGGACGGTGGCAAGAGGCTCTTACGCCAGCATTGTCCCCAGAATCAGCCATCGGCACCCGCGCGAATTGAAGTCGCAAACGCAAACGCAAACTCAGTCGCAATCGAGCCCGAGTCCGGATCTGGACCCGGAATCAAACGCCGTCGCCATGATGGACGTCGACACCGTCAACGAGGTCATCGAGTGCGTCGGTCGCCTCTTTGACCACATCCCCTACGCCGTTTGTGGTACCGCCGCCCTCATCTACTACGGCTACCGCTCCTACTTTCCCGACCACATCAGCATCACCTGTCCCGAAGAGTCCAAGGAAGCCATTCGCTGCTGGGCGCTGGCCAAGGGCATGACACCGTTGCCCGACAATCCCGACGGCTTCAGCGTGCGCGTCGCCAGCGGCCGCACCTGTCCCGTGTGCATCAAGTTCATGAAGAACGGCTTCGAGGCGCTGGAGCGAGTACGCGTTGGCCCTGGCCAGGCAAGCATGGTGACGTTGCCTAGTATCGCCAACACCATTGCCCGCAGCTACGTCTCTCGCCTACACAACTCGTCCACCGAGCGCCAGGCCCTCTATGCGCGGTACTTGGCCTGGATCTTGAAGCGCATGGCCGAGGTCCCGCCAACCGATCCGATACAGCGCTTTACTCCGGAACGCGCCAAAGACATTATCAATCGATCTTTCTGGATCCCCTTTACTCTCTCTTATCCCGAGACTTTGCCTCTATTTTCCGCTGCCGGCCTCGACATCCCAAGCGATGGCGGATTATTGGACGGGTTAATGGACTGGCAGATTGACGTCCCAAGCGTGCCGGTCCAACGGCCGAGGGCCAGGACGTCCACCAGCCGTTACAACCTCAACAATTCCCATGGCCGCAGCCAAAGCCAAAACTTTGCCAATACCTACAACTACAACTATAGCCAGAGCCAGACCCGCCAGAGCCTTCACGACTCGGATCTTTCAGAATCCGAGAATAGCACTACGCCGCCATCTCTCCGTAGGGTCACCAAACGGATACCGAGCTTTCGTCCACTAATGGTACCTTCATTCAACTCACCGGCGAATTCCGATTCAGGATACTCCCATTCCACCGACGGCATGTCACCGCAGTTTCTTCTTGCTTCTCCCTTCATGTCGCCCACCACCTTCATGTCGCCCACGACAGCTATGGCACCACCGCCGTTTACGAATTATCATCAGAACTATCCCCAGGACTACCATCAGAACTACCATCAACACTATCATCAGAACTATCATCAGAACTACCATCAGAACTACCATCAAAACTACCATCAGAATTACCATCAGAATTTTCATCAAAATTTCCATCACTTTATGCCCCTCTCTCCTTCCGACTCTACGCCCTTTATCCAACCGTTAGGCCCTCCGCCTACGCCAAGGAGAACACTCTCAACTCGTTCCCGCGACGTAAGACCGTGGATATGAATCAAATGAACACGAATTTCCTTTATTATGCGCTATTTGAGCGTTTGAGATACACACACCCGCACAAACAGCTATTTTACAGCGTTTGGACTCACATTTATACCAATTTAACGTCTGCTTCATCGGCCAATACAAACACCAACCTAGCAGCCAGACAAACAAACGATCCAAATCTACTGATTCTGGCAATCTAATTCTGTTCTTTTTGTCATTTTTATCTATTGGGGGTTACCATCTAAATTGACGAGATATCAACTTGACCATGTTTTTCTTTTTTTTACCATGTTTCTTTTCTCTAGGCCGTACCAGATTTTGCTCTTTGTCTCGCTGTCTTTACATTTCATCTCATTTTATTTCTTCTCTCTATTCTCGCACGACGGAGTTTTCTTTTTTGTCTTTTTTTTTTCTCTCTGTGCCAAGATTGGACACGATTTGATGGATACCGGATATGGCAGGCAAGGGGATTATGCACGACATGCATACATGATGCAAGGGGCCTCCTTTTTTTTTTCCCTGCTTTTTTTTCCTAATTATTTAAATGACATTGAATGGAGGAAAGGAAGAAAGACGGAAAGAGAAATGATGCCATGGTAATTGAAGAGGAAGAGAAGCAAGCAAGTCAACAGGAATCGACAAACAACGAAACTACAACAAACAGACACATCAGGATTTTCTTTCATTTTTTTTACTTTTTCATTTTTTTTTTTTCGTCTCCAGGCCCTTGGGAAAAAACAGGCTCAACAATATCCATACCCCATAGATTGATAGTTTACTGTACAATAGAAACAAAAAAGGGGGTGGAGTGCATTGCTAGTCTCAATGCCCAACTACCCACCCACCTATTTGATGAAGCTTTACTTTTTTTCCCTCTCTCCTTTCTTCTCCTGAGCGGAGACTTGAGTGAATGAATAGAGTAGGGCACACGTGCAGCGATATGATGAATCTTATTGAGAGGAATAACAAGATAAAGTAGCAGCGTGACAGAACTAAATTTAGGGCGAGACTTTCCAGTAACCTAATTATCCATGGATGTTGTTCAGCATTTCAGATACAGCCTTGGTTATGGCCATTACTACTGCTGCAGCTATTACCGCCGTTACCGTTATTATTGCTGGTTGTTATGGGCACCAGACATGATAATCTAATTTCGCATATATACTACATGTACAGTAACGAACGACAGATGGGGGGCTGGATAACCTGTCACTCCCTGACTTTAACCATGATACACGCCTTCTTTGGACGAAAATCTCCATTTTTACAGTAAATAGCCTAGCATAGAATTAAAAATCATACTCACAACATACCAAAAACTCCCTTACCCATGTATCAGCCATGACTCCCTCCTTATACTGTCCCGACAATACGTATTGCTCCTCAGGCTTCTCATTTCTTTCATCTACAAGATATAAGAAGCTGGATACAAAAATAAAAGATGATGAAAAAACACGCTCAAAGCATTTCCCTCCCATTTCCCTCGTTACTCCAATGCGCCTCCTATAATGGCATCAAGCCCGTGTGCGTCTTTATCTGATCCGACGGGCATATTTTTCTTGTCGTAAATTGCGCTCGCCATGCTTGGTTGTAAAATGTCGCGTATAAAGGACTCATCCACGCGAGGCGGCGACGTTCCCCGCCTCACAGATTCGCTCGAGATGGGTGACAAGTCAACGGCAAAAATCCCATCGACGGCAACTTTATCTTCTGGTGTTGCGGGCTTCGATCGCTCAGCCACATTGAGCTTCTACGCTCCCATGACGGGAATCTTCTTGCCTCGCTTGCCTAGCAGCGTTGCGTTGTCAAGGTTGAGCTCAAATGCACCCTTTTGTCGCTGTCGCTCGCGCACTTGCTGTCGTGCAGCAGCGGTCACGGCCGCTGAATGCTGCCCATAGCCTCTTTCGTTAGTGGCTCGCTCTCGCTCGCGGCCACGAGTATGAGTATTATCATGGTCTTGGATGTTGGCCCTTTGCATCCTCTGCTCTAGAGCCTGAGTTTTGCTGTTGGTATCCTTATCGATGTCCATGTTATCGGCATCGTTTTCTTCTTCTCCTTCCTCCTCATCTTCGTCTTCTTCGTTAAGACCGCCGAGAGGTCGACCAGCACCTCCGGCTCGTGCTCCAATCTGGGCCCGTCTCATTTCCTCTTCTCCTTGACGATGAACAGCATAACTGACATCGAAAACTTCGCGGAGATTGACGGCTGCAGGTGATCGGAAATCGTACTTCTTTCCAGCTTCTTCGAATTGGGCGGTTGCAAATGGCTTGAGCGGCATATCGGGCCTCTTTTCCGTTTTAGGGGTCGGTCCTACTTCTTGGATCCATGGGTGAGCAAGAAACTCTCTGATGGTGTAACGTTTCTCGGGGTCCACGGTCAATAGGTGGCTGATCAAATCCTTGGCAGATGAAGAGATGCCGTCCCACCAAGGCGACAGGAAGGTGTATTGACCCTTGGCAACCTTTTCCGTCAAAACTTCAATACTTTCGTCGTAGAAAGGCGGGAAGCCACACAGTAACGTGTAGAGAACACAGCCAAGTGCCCACATATCAACCGACTTGGAATATCTCTCATCCTTGACGATCTCGGGTGCAGTGTAGCCAACGGTGCCGCAGGGTGTCATGGTTTGTGTTTCCCACACAATCTTGGAGAGGCCAAAGTCGGCAATTTTGATTTCGCCAATGCCGCCACCTCCATATCCAGGGATGAACTCGCCCTCATCAACCTTGTCCTCATCTCCTGGCTGCTTAGGTTTTGGGTGCTTGGAGGGAATGACGGGTGCCGGGTTGAAGAGGATGTTCTCAGGCTTGATGTCGCTGCAATGCATGTGTCAGCAAAAGCCTGTTTGGGCAAGGGCGAGTATGACGTCAAGGTGGGACTACCCCTGTCCCACCCACCATGGCTTGCTTAGAAATGGAAATTGGGGGACTGCTGAAAGAGACTTACCGATGGACAACGCCCTTCTCCTCGTGCAGGTACTCCAGCGCCCTGGCCACTCGGACGATGACATGGCGAGACAGCTCCTCGCTGAAGTAGGTCAATCGTACGATCTGGTGGAACAGCTCGCCACCGGGAGCCAGCTCCAGCACAATGTAGTAGTACTGCTTGGATTCGGAAAATTCAATGAGCTTGACGATGTTGGGGTGGTCGAGCTGACGCATGATCTGAACCTCTTTCAAGATATTCGAGCGCTAGGCTAGATGTTAGCATCAGTGATTTCCCAAGCGTTCTCTCCTTGTATCCGATGCCACAACTACTGGCAGCGTTACACTGTGCACCCTAGATATAAGGGGCCGAAAGTGTGATGATAGGAAATAAGATTTCGCACCTCTGCAGCTTTTGGAATCTTTTGAAAGTCTGGATGTAAATGTTTGTTTCCCTATTTTTAGGGGAAGCCCCTCTCCGTGGTTGGTAAGAGCGGGATGAGACGCAACAAACGACATTGATGGAACGAGAGAGCCAAGGAAATAGGATATCACGGTGACAAGAGAAAAGCAACAACAAGGATAAGAATGAAGAATTGCCTCAACTTACTTGCATACGATTCATCTCATACTTGCGAACGACCTTGATGGCAACCTCACCATGCTCTCCGGTCAGATCGCGCGCACGATAAACATTGCTGAAGGCACCATCGCCCATTTTCTCCAGGAGCTCCCATCGATCTAGATCAGGGTATTTCGGGAACTTTCCCTTGCTGGCATTTTCTTCAGCGACAATTTGAGCCAGGTTCGCCTCGTCTACCCTCCTGCCCTTGGCACCATTAGCCTGAGCTGGCTCGACATGGTGGGCTGCGGCATTGCCTGCCTGTGCGGCTCGATTCTGCTGATCGTTGGGAGCTTCTGAGTAGGCCGACAGGGGCTCCTGGTTTCCAGCGGGCTTGCCATATACGGGACCTGTTGCTACAGTTTTCTCCGGGGGTGGCTGTGGTATCGACTGAGAGGCTTCATTCTTTTGCGGCTCTTCGCTAAAATTACCGACGCGAGCTTGTTTGCCTAGAATTCAACTTTGTTAGCCAAGCTAATTTGCCACTTTTTGAACATTTTAACAATCGTCATCCGATGATGACGATGATGCTGGAATTTGGTCATACCGTGGCGGATGAAGTTCTTGATCTGTTGAATGGTAGACATGGCTGCCAAGGGACGCCGCTATCGAGCGACGGCGCGGTAAGTGACGCGGGTTGGAATATGCTGATTAGTTCTATGCTGCTGGATTCAAAATTCTTGTTCCTCTATATGCCTTTTGTAGCCAGTGGTTTTTTTTTCCTTTTTCAGGAAAAAAAAAAAAAAACAAGGAGAAGAAGAAAATCTCAGATCGTATCGTAGATGCAGCACAAGTTAGAGAGAATTGGAAAAGGTAACGCAGTGTCTAATTCCGGCTCGCTGTCGAGAAATGACGAGCGTGTGTTTGGCGCGGAGGTGCGATGATGCGGGGTTTTGAAATAAGTTTGCCAGCAGCAAATAGTGGGCTTTCTTATTTTTTTTTTTTTCTTTGTCTTCGCCGGGTGGACAAGATATCTACGTCAGAAGGTGACGCTGGGCTGAAGCAGACGAATCTGCTTGAATCGAGAAAACGGTAAATGTATTCGCTGGCGAAAGTCCAAGTAAACGAAAATGGAAGGGGAGAAAGAAGAGAAGAGAGTAGCTGGGACAGACTAATGCGAAGGTCAGGTAGACGTGTAGCGACTTATTAGTGATGGGCTTGGGGAGGACAAAGGCGGCCGGCACGGTAATTTCAAGTGGATGGAAGTGACGTACGGGCCTGGAAGAGGCTAGAAGGGACAGGTAGTGGTGGGGAACTTCTTAGTGCTTGTCCCTGTATTTTTGTCGGCGGCTGATTTTGTTGAATCGAGGGGAAAAAACAAGGTGAAGAAGAGATGGGAAAAGAAGGAAGAGGAGGAAGAGGAAAGAAGAGAACAGGAGTAAAAGATAAATCAACCAGTCTGCGCATTAGCATAATGTGATTTTATTTTTGTCTCCATTCCCGTGCAATTCTTACTTTTGACTTCAACTTCGCCTTGCTGCCTGCACGGATGACGATATTCCCTGCTACGTGCTGAAATGATACCATAGCTTTACTTTGCACTACGAAAACCTTGGCCGTGCCTTCACGTACAGCCAGGCCCTACCTGTAAAGAAGCCAGAAGCAGAGAGCTAGGGGTTACATTCAATTTCCCATGTGCATGCAGGCAATGAGAGAAAAAACAAGGTAGATGCGGTACTGACGCGAAGTTGACAGGACCGCCTATTCATGTGCCTAAGCATGCATGCCGTATTCCTGCTGCGGCATTGGCGCGCGCAGCGGCTGGTACAGCAGACCTAGTGGCTGCTGGCGCTGCAGCAAGGTCCGCCGCATTGCCTGTTAGGCAGTGCCAGGCATTGAAGCCATGACAGGCATTCGGGTCGAGACCCGGGCGGATCGCGCACAGGCTTGCCGATTCAAACACCGGCTTACAGCTAAACCGCCAGCCACCGGAGTACTCCGTGCTTGAAATGAGATCAATCAAGTGCCTCGCAATTGCGATGCTGCTGCCGCTACTGCGGGCCTGCTTGGAGCTTAGCAGCCGCCCTGCTGAGGAACGCGCGGGACAAAATAAATTGGACGCGGTGGCAAGAGGAGAGCACGAGATGGGAAGAAAAAGGCCATGTCGCCTGCTACCATCCCCAGGTACCTGAATTACTTCATACCTAAGAGTACATGGTGTCATGCACAGGCAGTCGATCATCTGCTAAGGTATCTGGTCACTTTACGATAACTTTGCATCAAAACAGGTATCAATACCTGGGCGCCCACCCCGCAGAGAGCGAGCTTGAGGTACCCCAAACCTCTGGATGGACGAGCATGAGGCAACTCAACTCCGAGGCCAGGAAACAGACGCAAAAAGCAAGGAACCCGCTTTTCCCGGGCCTCCAACTCCAGCTGCCAGGCACTCTCGCTCAGCCTGGGCCTCCCTATCATGCGCCCCAAGCCCAGCCGCGTGCGTGTGTTGCTGGTGGCTCGAGCCCTTGGCAACTTGATTCGATGACCTGGGGGCTTAGCGCTGCGCTTTTTCCCGATCTGCGCTTTGTTACTGCGTTGACGCCACGAGACCGGCGAGCTTGGCGGTCCAGATCGCTGCTCAGGGAGGTGCATGTACTTGTCTGGTATGCACAAAGCAATAATCACGTCTGCTACCAGTCACAGGTGCTACATACCGCATGGCTACAGTCTGAAGAAGAGGACGAAGAAATTGAAAACGAGGCTATATACCTGCGCGCACTCGTGTGCACGCGAAAAGAATCCTTCGAAATTGCTCCAGCATCCACCTGGACAAGCTACCATGGCTTGGCTATGCGCGCCTGTCGATCCTCTCACCAGCGCGGCTCGCTTACGTTGCATGTACGTAGGTAGGTGTGCATCAACCGCAGAGCTTGTCCATGCCGATGCACGCTGCCATTAAACAAGCAGAGCGATAAAGCAGGTGAAGGACGTTGAGAAAATATTTTCTCCCAGCTGCTTCTACTTGGTCCGCTTAACTCGGCCAAGCATTTTAGCTACACTACTAGCAGCATCTATATAAGTGTGCTAAAGCAAGTCGCCGTGCGTCGACGTCACAGCGGGCCTCTGAGTCTAGGCCGTCATCTACACCTAATGCATTCGACGTCGTTTTTACACGTACTACTCCATACCTGCAGACGCTATTGACGGTCCTGCAGCAGCGCGATAAACCGAGATGTTGACCTACAAATCCCTGGGCCGAGATACTAACTGCTAGTACTGTCTCGATGTTTTGATCGATTGTTTCCAGCCGTCCAGCTCAGTTGGTGTTGCACGCATTTAGCAATGACAAGACGTATCAAATAGTACCAGACACCGGCCATGTCCTACATGATCTGTCGCATCGGCGATAGCCAACGGAGCTCTGTATCGACTGAGCTGAGGCGTAGCAACTCCTATCTGTGATCATGGCTTGGACCAGAGCTGCAGCCGTTGAGATGTCAGACACAAAGTAGCCCGCCGGACCAAGTTACATCGTGACGTCACATGGCATTGCAGCATTTGTTGCCCTTCAAGCAGCCATACGTCACTGCCTCAAGATAAACAGGGAGACTGCCATCTTCAGTAATCTGAGGCTTAGAGAAGAACTCTGTGATTCACACAAACCGTTCCATTCTTGGACGGTACATCACAGCTACGTTCATACGATGAGAGTGAAGCAAATCACCATCGCCGGCTCACGCAGAAGAGAATGAGGAATGATGCTACGTTCAAATAAGGTACTTGGATATATCTGAAGGCACACACGAGGCCTAATGAAAGGCAATGCCATCATTTGCCACTTGTGATCTACATTGTGCATTTGTCAGAGATCGAGCGGCCAGACGGGACCTATCTCCCGTGGAAACCAATAAACTTAGCATGCAAGGAGTGGTGTACTGTGAGATCCCCATCTCTGCCGGAGCTTCTGTGCCGGTGGTAGTCTATTTTAGGGATTTCTAATGCTGAGCTTCATAAATCCAGCGGCTGGGTGCATCTCTAAGCGGTATCCGGGCAGTAGCTGGCTACCTTTTTCGTTCTAGGCACATTAAAGCAGATGGTTTCATCCAGTTCTGCTTGATACTGGCAGATGAATAAAGAAGAATGCTTATTTCGACTAAACTGTAAATGATGTCGTACATATACACGCTATTGCATGGAACATTTTGGTGGCTGTTATGCATACAACCGTTGTCACATCTCGAAATAATACGCGAGTATGAAGATAAATCTTGACAGTATCCATAGATCTTATTAATAAGTATCCAGCAAGATTACAGCGACCATCCAGATACAATAATTTCGTTGATCGCTCATGTTAGGAAACACCAGTTTGAACATAGGATTAAGATGCTCCTCTTGCATGTAAAACGTGGCATTTCTTCCCAATAACGGACGTTTCCCCTCCACAAGTAAACTGGCGGTATATGTGCAGAGAGAATTTCACGGCAGTTTTAACCTCCCAGAAGGCCTTGCTAAGTGTATTTATAACAACTAGGTGTGGCTTAGCGTGTGCAAAGGATTGGTGAAATCTCGTTCAAAGGATTAATGAAATCTTCACAGCATTTTTACCCTTCCCCGGGGCCTTGATAACTGCACTGAAATGAACGCTCTACTGTGATTGAGGAACTCCACAGCACTTTCAACATTATAAGAAGCCCCAATGCCTGCATAGGAATAGACGCTTGAGTAACCAACCGATGTTCCCGTAAGACTTGTCAGCCATTTTAATCCTGCGTGGGGCCTTGACACTTGAAATTCTCAACAAGTGAGCATTATGCGTCATGGGAATGAGGTGGGGGTCAGCTGTTGCTATTTGCATGGCAGATAGAACAGACAGACAAACCATTAACAGAACATATATCTTTACATTGCTAAAAAGAGTCATCGATTGCCCTGCCTACTGTACTCTCTTTGACCAAAAGTGTGTACTAGATGCCAAGAATCACATAATAAAACAGATCTGAAGCTTAATATGATAGATGCCTGGTAGGAGGCGGATCAAGTCTCAGATGTTGGGAGGCGCATTTGAGAGTCCACTTCAACTCTCAATAAAGCCTTGAAATATAGCACTTGAAACAAATGAACAGTTTGCAGCGTTTTTTAACCCGCATGAGGCCTTGATATGCCCTCCTAAATTGATCATAGTAGCAGATTCCACCACGATATTCAGGGGTTAGAAGACGCCTCGTGTTCACAGCATTTTTAACCCTCAGTAAAATTTTGACACCAAAAGGTATGATACTTCGTGTCAAACGCTTCACAGCATTTTTTAACCCTGCATGAGGCCGTGATGTGCTTGAATAGAATTTATGTCGCAATTTTCGGCATATCCAAGGCGAATTTCACAGCATTCTTAATCCCTCCCAAGACCTTGATACGCGTAATCAGATCATGCACCATACAAATGCTTCTTCCATACTCTCAGACTATACAGGGCCTGATTTGCTAAAATATGAGTGCAAAGGTCGATCTGAAATGTAAAGCATCTTTCATTATAGTTGCTCACCCACAATCCAAGCCGTCATCTCGCCTAGATGCTTGTCATGGCTACACTACAACAACCACCATCGTGAGACCGTCAAAGCTTGTAGAGCCTAACGGACACACCCTC